TGATAATTTTACATTACTCAAAATGTATTTGATTACAGATTTGTTTTCGGTGTGATGTACACAACATTTAAGGCCAATCAGATAGTTTTCTCCATAAAAAAGTGTATTAAGAGATTATATATATTTTTAAATTTAACAGCAACAAATCTTTGGTTGTTGCTGTTTGACGTGTCAAACCTGCAACGTAAAGTTGAGGAATTGCATCAGAGCCACTCACATCTTCTTAAATAACAAAATGGTCCAAATCCACCCACCATACCTCAATAGATCATGTCTCATTGCTATGGTAACTGCTGACAGCTAGCAGTCACTGTTGTCATGGGAACAGCTTGACAGGCTTGTAAAAAGGAGGAGGAGAGAGAGGAGGCTGTCGGGATGGTTGCGGGAAATGGAAAACAAAGGGAGAGAAGGAAAACAGCAGATTAAATGCCTCATTAATGCAATTTTTTTAAATGTCATTTTCTAAAGTAATTTCTGAGATGACATTTTTGTAGCCTAAATGGACAAAAAAAAAAAATCTAAATCATTTTAGAGGGCTGGCTTTTATCACTTTTAGCTGCTGTTTTTCTACAAAGTGGGTAAACTCAAATTTTAAGAAAAGTGATTGCTACCAGGTCACGACAATTTATTTATTTTTTTTATTTTTTATTATTATTTTTTTGCAAGGGGTGGGGGGTTGTTTGGACATGATCACAGTACAAACTCCTCTCTTTCTGCATTCTTCATGCTATTTTCCATTACCTTCAATTTTCCTCCCCAGAAAAGCTTTTAGAAGATTAAAATTCAAGAGAGGGGCTTTATTTATTTTTTTAATATAAAGTAACCATATGCCACCATTAGGGTTAACTGTACTGAAAATATTTTGTAGTATGGCCTACTCATTTCACAGAATCTCCTTCTAGGCATCAAAATGATAAATGCAGTTTAAAAAAAAACAATTAATTTCAGTTAATTCATAACACATATTTTGTGAAATAGCAGAATAGTATTGCTTGAGATATTGCATAATGGTATTTAGAAGCTTTAACCTTGTCACTTCTCAACATGAGACAATCTTTGTCTAAAACTCTGACATGAACGGCAGTGAGGGATATGCATTCCTACACCTTTAATGTAAAACTTATTTCATGTGAGGTATGCAATCCAACATCAGCCGAGGCAGTGGTGGTACTTGGAAGTGTGGTTTAAGGCTCATTTGCACACATGCATGTACCAGTTCCTCACACAGCGATGACAGATTGAAGAGGCGGAGCTTAATTTACCCCATCTGACCCTGGCAGCATCATGGTGATGCAACAGTACATTTAATGTGTGCGTTTGGCCTAACTGACTGCTCACGGTTTAAGCTAGCTGATTAATTCTTCAAACATAATTTTATTAATTTTTTTATTGCTTATTTATTTTCTTAACAGTTTGAAATGACAAGTACACAGGCGCAGACACTGTCGGAAAGATTCTGCATTTGAAATGAGGATGATGACTAACTGCAAACCATGTCCTGCTTCCTCCAAATGCTGCTGTCACATCCTGTAAATATGTGTGCACCATCTGTCTTCACAGCACTGCCTCGCTCCTGCTGCTGCTGCTGCGGCTCGGATGAACTCTTGAGTTAGCAGCAGAGATCATCAAAGATACTTTAATTTTTAACACGCTCCTTGAAATCTAGTCTGCAGGGGAATGTTTGGAGATGTGAACGAGCTGTCTTCATCTGGTTTACGGAAAGACCTTCAATATACTTTATCACCCTAATATTTATGAAAAATACTTTTGAGGAACATGCGTTGTTGTTTTTTCCTCAAATCACATGCTGATTAAGATACTGAGAAGTTTGCAGATGTTTAACGTGTTATGCAAACATTTGTTTATTTAGTTACATCAAATATTGAATCCACTAAATGTCAACAGATAAAAATGCATTACGTACTGTACTTGCCGCCATACACGTTGTACCACCGTATAAGTCGCTTCAGTTCAAAAATGTCAAATAAAGTGGAAAAAAAAACATATGTTGCTTCGTCGTATAAGTCGCATCTATTATGCGTCACCGCTGACGCGTCGCGATAGTTATGCGTCGACAACCCGGAAATGTGGGTCGTTGTTGTGCCAAATCGATTGACTGCCAAATGGCGGTCGCGGGAGCGTGCACAGGAGGACTTTAACAAGGATTTAACAAGATTAACACTTAAAAACAATTATTTGTTTGCTCGGAATTATATCAAAGGCGTGTCTCAGTTGAACTTTTCCTTAATAAATGCACTTTAACGGTCAAATCAGTTGCATTTCGCCTGGGCGGTGCGGCAAAATTTGATGTTTGCACCAGGAGTTCCGGAGCGAGACGAAGGTGGCTTTCTGTGGCAAGCCAAGTGTCTCATTAATAGCCACTTTTACCAATTAATTAGACACTTGGCTTTCCATATTGGTCGAGGGCCCTATAGCAGCTGAAAATGGTAATGTTCAATATTTTCTATGTCAGAATAAATGATAGTCAGATCTCAGCCAAAATTTAGGTTATAAATATGGGGGGAAAATGTATATTATTCGCTTCCTTCGCAGTATAAGTCACAGGACTTGCAAATTTTTGCAAAAAGGTGCGACTTATACTGCAACAAATACAGTAATAACCTTACTGTGCTTAATATACAACAAGCTCACAGTAATAAAATCACAGCAGTTTTTATCGGTGCAGAAATAAGTTACATTGTACAAGATATTAAGCGTTATTTTTCTAGATTTACAAAGTTTACAGAGTCCACTGTTCTTTTTCACCTGGCCTTAAAGAGATAATGCAGATAATGTAAAAAAGACTTACACTTGGGATACGCCCACAAAGGGGCAAGAATATTTAATGGCTGCTTGTGTAGAATACCTGAACAATGAAGTGTTTGTTTGAGAGTCAGCCAGTTTGGTTCCAGCTTCACTTGCCAGAGTTGATTGTCATCTTGAGCTTTGCAACCACGTTTTCTTCATCACAAGTGATTACTTTATAGAAGAAGCTGTGGAGAAACAACTGGTACGACTGCAGGAAAGCAGGACAGACACTTCAGTATCTATTTGGAAGTGAAATCCCTGTCAAGACAATTACATGACCATATGGTATTACTTAATGAGGATGTAAGGTAAAATGTTACGTTGCTTTTGTTCTATTATCTTTTAAATCACCGTGCTGTGTTTCTGCAGTGTGTACATACAATTGGCTCTTGACATTTAAAGGTTATTAACTGTTTCTCTAAGGAAATCAGTGTTGTTTTAACCTCGTAATGTTTGACTGATTCAACAAACACTACTCAAATATCACGTCATGATGTGAGGCTTTATTATCGCCTCCAAGGAGATGATATAGTTGGTTTAGCTTGTTTATTTTGTTTGTCTGTAGGATTGCTTGAAAAAAAAAAAAAAAGCGTACAAAATCTGCCAAGTGATTAATTTTTTATGCTGATCTTGCTTCAAATCAGTTACAAGCACGTCGAGCATTGATGCAACAAATCTCTGAGGTAAAAGATTACTTTTGGTAATAGAAAACTGAGCCCAAAAGATTAAGATTACATTACAACACGTGGTACAGTTTAAGCTGGTTTGGTCGCATTTATTTATTTAGTTGTTTTTTTCTTTCCAGAATTCAGCTGCTATTGTACATTTATTAAGAACTGTACACAGAGTTACGCTAAGGACTTGTTTTCTAGTGGAATTGTGCCAAATTGTCAGACAAAACCTGGTTTTACTGCAATAAAATTGAAATGTTTAAACTGACTGCAGCAGCACAAACTTATAGTTTGTACATCGTTTTCAATAGTTTTCTGTTCGCCTGAGTCCATGCTCAATAATCTAGGTATAAAATCCAACAATGTTCTGTCAGATCATCTATACGGTTTCTTTTTTTGTGACGAGATGTTTCGCCCTCCATCCAGAAGGTTTAGTCAGTCTGAGGAAACGCCAAGCAAAACTGATTCTCCCCCAACAGCTTATTCCAAAGTGGGAAAATAAAAAAAACAGTTATGTTGGTGCTAAGATCGCCTCTGGGGCATTTGTTTGGTGTTTTCTCAGACTGATGAAGCCTTCTGGATGGAGGGCGAAATGTCTCAGCACAAAAAAAGAAATCGTCCAGATGACCTGACTGAACATTGTTGGAGTTTTCTGTTCAGTTTGGTCCTTGAGGAACCTTATTTTATTTGGGTAACAGACTTCTGGAGCCCGTTCCTCTGATGTTCTGCAATGAAGCCATAGTTACAAAAGGCCAGATGGGGCTAAAAATAATTAATAAATAAAAATAGACTGCAGTATGTTAGCCCTTGCTGCATTTTAATTACAATATGACCAACACTTTTTATAGTGTTTAAACAAAAACACTGACCTACTTGAATTTTAAATTACCCTCTCTTCAGAAAGTACCAAGGCGTGAAACATATGGAAGGTTTTGTACCCAATACCTTAAATTAAATGGCTTTAAGCCTAAACTGTAACTTGGTGGTGCATTAAATGCAGCACACCTTCTTTAAGTGCCATAATTATTCAAATAGTTCTTATTATCTGCTGCATACTTCGAATTTAGTTTCAGTCTTGTTCAGTTTGCTCTACAGCACATAGTCCAGTCCTCTGAAAGTTTTGATGACATGGCTGGTAGGCAGGATTTCTCCTGCAGTCTGGGTGTTGCTTTAGCTTTGAGGATGGATGGCCTTTGTTGGATGCATTTAAAAGAAATTCTGAATATGGAGCTACAATCTTCTCATCTCAGACCTTTTTTTTAATATATACAGACGTGCCACGTTTCATCTGTTACTGAATAGAGGGAATGAAGAATCCACTGTCTGTAGCTTGAGATGGGATAAAAAGGTGCTTTCCTCCTTGAATGAGTTTCTATTTCTTTGAGTCACGCTGGGAGGCTTGCACACTATCCAACACTCCTGTAGGCTATCAGGTTTTCGTCCCACTTTTTGACTTCATTTCCTCTTACCCTGTTCTTTATGTCATTGCCTTTCTGTCTCTGTGTGTTTTCCTGTCTCCAGTCCACGCCGCTCCACCTGGCAGCAGGATACAACCGGGTCAGGATCGTTCAGTTGTTACTACAGCACGGAGCTGATGTTCACGCCAAGGACAAAGGGTACATCACACACATTTTAAGTTTAGTTTTAAAATGAAAATTCACAGCTTTTGAATAACTGACCTCTTAAGTCGATGATGACGTCGGAGCATTGCGACGGTACTGGCAGATTTCTGTAGAATTGAAAACATGCAGTGCAGTAGAGATTAAAATAACAAGTTGTGTTTTAGTTAGGTTTAGTTTTTAATCACAAATCTGTTTGTGTTTGCTTCTTTCAGTGGTCTCGTGCCTCTACATAACGCCTGCTCTTATGGACACTATGAAGTTACTGAGCTGCTGCTCAAGGTACGAACACTCATGTTCTAATACAGACTGTACAGATGCAGTAATATTTATGATTTTTATTAATTTTTTAATTTTTTTAATCAAATAGACTGATCTATTTTTGCTGTTATTTTTTGGTGTGTTTTTACTCATTGTGTCGTTCCTCCCGACCTCAGCACGGAGCTTGTGTGAACGCCATGGACCTGTGGCAGTTCACACCTCTGCACGAAGCGGCGTCTAAAAACCGAGTGGAGGTTTGCTCTCTGCTGCTGAGCCACGGGGCCGACCCCACCCTGCTCAACTGCCACAGCAAAAGCTCTGTGGACATGGCGCCCACTCCCGAGCTGAAAGAAAGACTTTCATGTGAGTGTGGACTTTTCATCTACAGCACAGAGCAAAAATGTTCTTCAATTCTTTGTGCTCTTTTGCTACATTTTTTGTCTGTTTCTTAAAGTTGCTTGTCTTTTACTCTACTTGTCCACTTTCCTTACTTTTTAGAACTAACTTCACAATATGCAGTCATGGTCCATATGAAGGACTGGCTAGAAATATACAGTAGTCCCTCGCTACTTCGGGGTTCGACTTTCGCGGACTCACTCTTTCACAGGTTTTCAACGTAAGATTGTACACGACACATAATTGGCCGATTGATGGAAGGTGACCAACCAGAGCATTGTGCTGAGGGGCAGACTGGCTGTTGGGAGCACCAGGACATTTCCCGGTAGCCTGGCCCGCTGATCAGTAGTGATAAGGAAAGACAGACCCCGCCCCCTCCTTTCTCTTTCTGAGGCTGTCTGTCACAGCAGAGACACACACAGGTTGCGCGCCTGCCTGTTTTGTGTCTCTGCGCTGCTGTGACTGACAGCCTCAGAAAGAAAAAGGAGGGGGTGGACTGGAACATAACCCTCGTGATAAGAAAGGGACTACTGTATTTTGAAATAGACAAAGTTCTAAAATGAACGTGCAGAAAACTAAAACAAAACAATGATTGATAAAAAACACTTTACTAAAAGAAAGAAAGTATGTGTTATTTGAAGCAAAACAAAAAGAAACAAATGGTGATTTCAAACTTTTGCACAGTCCTGTACATACATGGTTTACAAATTGGCATTCAAGCATAAGTTGTACTTAAAACAATTAAAAATTACTTAGTAAATATTAATTATTTAAACAAAAGTACATACGTTTTTTCCCCCCCAAAAAAACAGTTGAAGTTGATAACCTAAAGTGTTAAAGTTAAACTTTCACATTGTTTGGTGCCTATTTTGATCTCCACTGCCCAAGTTATCTGATGTTTGAACAGATAAAGATGTTTTTCTTTCAAACTCTTAAAGTAAAAAATAATTAAATCAGTGCACTGAATGCAGCAGACATTAAATAGATACAACATAAATCGTTTTATTTTTATTTTTTTCCTGCTCTCTTGACTTAAACTGTATAAAATATTTTTTTAGGCCTTAAATGTGAATAAAAACATTAGCACAGGGGAGTTTAAAAGGCTTAATTATTTATCTATTTATGCAATTAACTAATATAAGTTAATTGAAGGTGTATTCTATGGATTCGTAAGATAAAATATGACTTCCGATTGCCTAAAGGTATTAGGTTCAACCGAGCACCGTGGTTTTGCAGCTCATTTTCTGAAACTTACCCATGTGCTCTTTTGTGAGACAAATATAAAAAGCAAGTCTTTTCATAAAGTCGTTTTTTTTAATACTAAATCGTGCAGATAGGTTAAAAACAGTGTGACACTTTGTGTTCAAGTGAAATAGCAGCAATAGATTGTTCTTTGAGCATAAAGGCCAACAGAACTTCACGTATGATCTCCAGCTTATTACATTTTCTTGTTTGATTTAAAGTAAATTATGATCCTATGAATTTATTCCTCTGCATATTTATAAAAAGTTGTCTACCTTTAAATAGGATGTAAAACAAAGATCATTGTAAGCAGCAGTTTTTGCAGCTGTTTTGTTAAACTGCTCCTTTTTTTTTTTTTTTGCAAATGAATATAATATGTATGCATATTCATAAATGCAAAATATTAACATTTAAATATTAAATTAAAAAATAAACATGAAACCTAAAATGGGCTGTCGGAACTGTAGTTTGTTGCTTCTCTTACTGTTTTAGCAAAAACCAAACGCCTTGAGACTAGGCCTGTCGCGATAAACAATAAATCAATTAATCGCATGATAACTGAAAATTATCGACCTCATATTCATTTATCGGCTTTATCGTTTCTTCGTGTCTCTGTCTTTCTATTGAAGACACTGGATGACAAAAGCCTCGACTCCGGTGCTCTTCACTGGCCCCTCCCTTTTTCTTTATCTTTAAAATCCATTTTAACCTTCCAAAATCACGTATTTTGATCATTAAAAGCAATTAAGCTGAGAAGCTAAGCTAACTGGCTGACCTCAGGGAAAAATAACTTAATCTTGTCAAAGCTCCAAAATTCTCGGTTGAAACCCGTGCCTTTGTGTAAAAAGTTTTTCTCTGCAAAAACAAGCTGAGAATTTGTTTAGTGATTTTTTTTAAAATTTATTAAAAGCTTTGTGTAAAAAATGCTATGCTAAAGAGCTCAAACAACACCGTGCGTCCACCATTTTGATAACCGAAGATAGACAACCCATGTCACGTCAAGGGGCCTCACTCCCATTTTTCTTAACGTGACACGCTGTTCGCTCTCTCACTATCCATCCTTCGGTTCAAACAGTTTTATATTGCCATCCAGTGGTCAAAAAATGTACTACATGCAAAACAAATTAACAAACCTTTCTTTTTAAATTTGACAATAATTACTAAATAAAAAATTGTGTCTCTGTCTTTCTATTGAAGACACTGGATGACAAAAGGCTCAACTCCGGTGCTCTTCACTGGCCCCTCCCTTTTTCTTTCTCTTTAAAATCCAAAAAATAATTACTAGTTATTGTCAAATTATTGTCAAATTTCAAACAATATTATCGTTTATTGCAATAATTTCTGAGACAATTAATCGCCCAGCAAAAAATATCGTGACAGGCCTACTTTTTTTTATTTATTTATACAGGTAGTCTCATTGAGCCACGAGAACTCATTTTCAAGAGAGATCTGTTTAGGGAGCAGATGGGGGGGGGGGTTAAGGGCCTTGCTCATGGGCTCAAGGTGGTGCGAATGAGGGTGGGGGCAAATGTGGGTGCTTCACCTACCCCACCCACAATTTTGATGTTGTCGGGTCCGGGGCGTGAACCAGCGATCTTCGGATCACAGGCCCACCTCTCTAACCTCTGCGCTACCACTCCCCCAAACTTGTGACTCTTTAAAAGGTAGGAGTGGTGCACTGCTTATTTTTATTCATCTGCTTTGTTTTATTGTTAATGTATTTTTCGGACTTTCCGTATTTTTTTTTCCCCCCATCACAACTGCTTGAAGAAGACTTCTTTCACAAGAAGACACATTTTAAATGTTGTTGTTCAGTGTTTGATTGTCCAACATGAGCTCTTTTATGCAGCCTTGAATGTGTTTGAAACAAAACAAACATTAAAAAGCAGTAAGTTGTTCATGGTGTTTTCTCCCGAGTGGCATACACAGTTGTTTCTGCTCTGTCTCCGGCACGCAGATTGCTACATGAGTCATCGGGCACAAAACAAAATTTTTCTATAATGTTGACTTGTTGCAGGGTCAGTGCCGTGTGGTCTAATTGAAAACGAGATCTTGTAGACGTTTAGATTTTCTTCCTGTCTGTGTGTGTTCAGATGAGTTTAAAGGCCACTCGTTGCTTCAAGCAGCTCGAGAAGCCGACATGACCAAAGCTAAGAAGTCTCTGGCGCTGGAAATCATCAACTTCAAACACCCCCACACACATGAAACTGCACTGGTAAGATAAAACCCAGAGTTCGCCACATATTTCCTGTCTAGCACAGAAATTGTCAGCATATGTTTGACGCTATGTAAATTTAGTGTTTGTGTGTGTGTGTTAGCACTGTGCAGTAGCATCGCCTCACCCCAAAAGAAAACAGGTCACCGAGCTGCTGTTAAGGAAGGGTGCCAATGCGAACGAGAAGAATAAGGAGTGAGTGTCGTTTTCACCTTGATTTATTTTAGAGGTGTAAATCACGAGTCACTCTGCTGACGTGGATAATCAAAGTTTTCAACAAAGTAACAAGGACAGGCTGCTGATAATGTAACTTAATGAAGTATTTTAATCTGTAGTTTTTAACTTCATGATTAAATTGATTGTTTTCACCTTTCAAAAAGCTACCTTTATTTTGACACATTTGGGGTTTTATAGTGATTTTAAAATAAAAAAAAAAATGTTTAAAAGTCTTTTTTTTCCTCCTGCTCTGTAGTTTCATGACTCCTCTCCATGTGGCAGCAGAACGAGCTCATAACGACATCATGGAGGTGCTACAGAAACATGGAGCAAAGGTGCATGTCGGCATCATTTAAATGCAATTTATTAATGACATTTTAACAATCATCTGCATGTTTTTAATTTCTTTACTCTAAATATACCTAGCTCACCTGAAAACACTTGTATACTTAAGAGCATTCCAAATTATTAAACATGTGAATAAAATACCAAATCATATTACTGTAATTTCCAGAATATAAGTCTCTACTTTGTTCACAGGCTTTGACTTAAACTATGCTGCAGCTAATTTATGGATTTATTAATTTTTTTGATGAGCTAACGAGGTTCCTGCCACCAAAACATTTAGCTTCGTCACACCCGGGCACTCGCATAGCTGCCCAAGGTCCGCGTGACTCTGACTACCTGTATAAATAAAGGTTAAAAAACAAAATCTGACCAATGGAATTACAGAACAGATCACAGTGGACCAATGAAATTTAGAATTACCATAAATCAAACGCACTCTCACTAAGTTCAGGTGAGTTGATTTGCGTTTCATGCACACACCATCCTCATGGAAAACAAAGAAATGCAGATGATGCAGCGTTTAAGTTAAAGGCGATCGATCTGGCTGTCGAAGAAGGAAAAAGAGCTGCTGGATGTAAGCTAGGCGTTTCCTGGTAGGCTACTGTATTATTTATTTATTTGGTTTTTTTTTAACCAGCCGTGTTACAGACACTGTTCAGGAAAAAATAAATTATTGTAGGTGACAGAAGTCTAACCATACCAAGCCTGACGGCTTATAGATAAGCGTGGTCTAGACATGTACAAACGTGCATTTTTAATTTATTTAGGTTGCACGGCTTATATTCGGGTGCGCTCAATAGTCCAGAAATTACAGTAGTTTTACTGTCATTGTTTATAAAGTGAAGCAAACATTTTGCGTTCTCGTTGTTTTACATCCTTTTGAATTATTATTATTTATTTTTTTTTACTTTAAGAAATACTATTTTTTTTTTTAGAACTAGTACACTATACATTTTCTATGAAACACTGTCAGACTTTCAGAATAAACAAAATGTCAAAAAAATCGAACATTAAACAAGATAAATGACTAAACTACTAAATTGTTTGCTTTAAAGACAACATCCAGTATGACATGGAGTTTGGCATTTTACCTTAGAATTGAGTTTTTCTCTGCTGTCCAAAGCAGCTTTACTCGTCTCGTGTTTGGAAGTAATTATTGTTTTTTTAAACAAACTTCTCAGTTCTAGTGCAATTATTTTTAACGGATTAAGGTCAGGACTTTGACATTTTCAGAGCGTTCACTTTATTCTTGTGTTTTTTTGTTATATAAAACTGCTTCTGTCTACTTCAGAGGACATTTTATAGACAGAGAGCCTTATTTTTTTCTAAGATGTGCATTATTTAAAATTTATGAAACTATTGGGGATTTTTTTTAATAAGTATTTATATAAAAAGAAGGATTCAAAGATGACAGCATTTTATATTTTATTACCAGAGAACAGAATGAACAGGCTTCTAATGGGAAATTTAAGGGTAGTTCTTACTGTATGCCATTCTGATGTGTTTTTTTTTTATTTTTCTGGCATTTATGAAACACGTCTTTTATAACATTAACAATACACATGAACTAAGAAACATTTTGGCAAAGGAACATGTTCTGCTCGAGTACCTGGGTCATCTTGACCCTACAGAGGACACTCTACTTTCCGCTTGAAATTATTTCCTATATTTTCCAAACTGTCAATATCAATAATGGCAATCTGCCCTGAACCAGAAACCTCAACGTCACCCCAAACTATTATCCTGCAATGTTTGTGTTTATAGAAAAAAATTTGGTTATTTTACTGAAACAGTGTTTCTGCTTCATACTTTTAAAAATATGTTTGTTTCATCTATTCCAAAAACAGCAAAGTTCATGCTCAGTCATCCAGGTATCAAATCCAATAATTCTGTCAGGTCATCTGGACAGTTTCTTTTTTATAGAGACGTTTCACCCTCTATCCAGAGGGCTTCATCAGTCTTGAAGAGTTCCAGTAAACTGTTTCACCACCAAGCAATAAACTTCCTGTCCTGTCCCTTGCCGACTCTTCCCCGGCTAGCAGCCACCAAGAAACTGTCCAGATGACCTGACTGAGAATTATTGGATTTGATACCTGGATGATTGAGCATGAACTTTGTTGCCTTGAACCACTTTGACTGTGGCTGTGCCTGGGAGGAGTTGACGGGGGACAGGACGCCCCCCCAGAAACCATCTTAGCTCCAACAAACTGGTTGGTCCACTTAAGAAGTTTACTTCTTGGTGGGGAAACAGTTTACTGGAATTCCTCAAACTGATGAAACCCTCTGGATAGAGGGTGAAACGTCTTTATAAAAAATAAACTGTCCATATATTTAAAAAACACTTTTTTTAATTAAAAAAAGTTGTTTTTTTTAACTTCATGAAATGTTCAAAAGCATTCTGTAAATACAGAACTTAAATAAATTGTGGTCTTTTAAGTGAACTACTAAGTCAAAATCGGCAGCTTTATTTGATTGTTTATTTTAAACTTAAGCATTAATATAATTATTTTTTTCTTTTTTTTTTCTAAAATTTGTGAATCCAATTTTACAAAAAAATTGTAAAGAATAATATAAACACATTGAGAAAATAAAGGAATGTTTGTCCGATGCATAAATCTTAATCATAAAGTTAGTATGTTTGTGTTTGTAGGTGAACGCCCTCGACACGCTGGGTCAAACGCCGCTGCACCGTGCGGCGCTGGCAGGCCACCTTCAGACCTGCAGGCTGTTGCTAGGATACGGGGCCGATGCCTCGCTGGTGTCTCTGCAGGGCTTCACCGCCGCTCAAATGGGGAACGAAGCCGTTCAGCAAATACTCAACGGTAGGCTTCGCTGTGTGAGGGGCAGCTGTGTGGGAGGGCGGCAGGATGAGCAGGTGTGTGCGTGTGCTGGGTTCTGGTTGCTATGCAATAGCGGCGAATACCAGGATGAACTGGAATTGTGTAAAGGTTGGTATTGATATTTTCAGACCAAAGATAGAGGTGAGTAGCTTTTTGAAGGAGCCAGCTGTGAAAAAATAAACTACGTCAGAGTACGTCCAGCAGCTTTTCTATATTAAAAGAAAATATTGCCTTTGCTGTGCAGGATCACTCAGCTTTAAATAATACATCCATCCATCCATTATCTTTACTTGCTTCTTCCTTTTCGGGTCACGGGGGTGACTGGTGCCCATATCCAGCCATCACTGTGCAAGAGGTGGGGGACATCCTGGACAGGTCTCCAGTCCATCACAGGGACACAGAGACAAACAAGACAATCATTCACTCTCTCACTCTCACCTAGGGACAATTAAGAGTTACCAGTCAGACTAACATGCATGTTTTTGGTCTGTGGGAGGAAACTGGAGTACCCGGAGAAAACCCACACATGCACGGAGAGAACATGCAAACTCCATCTAGAAATGTCCCCTGGCCGGGATTCGATTCAGCGACCTTCTCGCTGAGAGGCGGCAGCTCTACCAACTGCACCTTGCTGCTGACCAACTTTAAATAATCTACAAATAATATTTGTCCATTTCAAAGACATTCAATTTGTCATTCTTAATTCTTTTTTATTGAAACGTTTATTACATTTTACATATTTTACCTGTTCAACAAAGTTAAGTCAGGTCCTCTGGGCAGTTTCTTTGTGTTGAAACGTTTTGTCTTTCATCCAAAAGACTTCATCAGTCGGAGGAGCCACAACAAACTCAGTCCCATAGGTAGCACACTCACATAGTGGACCAACCAGTTTGATGGTGATGAAATGAGATGTAATGTTTCAACACAAAGGAACCGTCCAGAGGACCTGGCTTAACTTTGTTGGATTGTTTTACAAGGATTATTGACCATGAACTTTGATCTTTTACCTGTTATTTGTGCAAATCATGCCCAGTGGTTTTCTGTGTTTGCTTCACTGCAGAGAACGTCCCTGTGAGAAACTCAGATGTGGACTACAGACTTCTGGAAGCTGCTAAAGCCGGAGACCTGGACACTGTTAAGGTGGTTCATTGCATTTTGTCACCAACAAATGAAGCTCCTAATGTGCTTACCTGATTTTTGTTTTGATGATGATGCTGAAAGGACAAATAGTTTGATAATTTGTTCTTCTAACAGTCCGAATGAAGACAAATAGAGGCCTGAACAAATTAATTTATTTTTGCAAGTTTGCAGTTTTAATGCTGAACGAGTTTGCTGAAATTCTCTAAAGAAGCTGAAACTGAGTTGTTTGAAGCTAAAAGAAAATGAACAGTAGCTAAAAAAAAAGGAGCAAGACATTAGATAATAGTCAAAAGTAGTAAAACAATGGAAAAAACCTTAAAGTAACAAAACGCTAGCTCAAAGTAACAAAAGGATAGCTAAGAGCTAAATGTAGCAAAAATCTAGTTAAAAGAAGCAACATGGTAGCTAGAAGCTAAAATTGTCAAAAGGCTGGTGACAAGGAACAAAACATTAGCTAAGATTTTAAATGTAGTACAAGACGACTAAAATAGAACAAGTGTGCTGAAGCAGATAATAAACAAACAATATTTTTGACAAGGTTTGCCTGGATGGTATAATAGAAACTGTAACACTTATGCTTAGGGGACCTAGGTTCAAATCATGTCAGTTACTTTTTTAACTTCTTCTTTGTTCTTAATATAAAACTAGATCTAGATATTTACAAATAGGTTATATTTAGTCCATTTTGTGCTCTAGACTTATTAAATCAATTTTTTTTTTAATCACCTCAATGAACGTCTGGTAGTTGTCAATATGAGATCAGCATGCAGGGATTAGTATTCTCACTTTTTTATAAACTTATGAATACGTTGCACTCCTAAATAGTTTGATCGCAACACGGGGAGTGATGCTATGTTTTTAGGTTAAAACGTGGGGGAGGGCAAAAACATAGATTTGAGCCTCCGCTTTTGAAAATGAGGGTGCAGCTGCTCCACCTGCTCCACTGAGCAGGCGTCTACAGCTAGTCATACTGAAGTCTGAATACGTATCGTTCAAAATCCATTTAAAGCCCATTTGGAATTAGTTTTCTAATTAGTCTGAGATGAAACACAATGCGATTAACTGAACACGGTCCATGTGTGCTGTCGTCAAAATTGGAAGACATTTGTCCTTCTTTCAGTGTTTAATCTTTGAGTTTTGATTTTCATTCTGATCATTCGTCTCCGTCTTGTGTCTCTGCAGTCTTTATGCACTGCTCAGAATGTGAACTGTAGAGATCTGGAGGGCCGACACTCCACTCCTCTGCACTTTGCTGCTGGTTACAACAGAGTATCGGTGGTGGAGTACCTGCTGCACCATGGGGCCGATGTTCACGCTAAGGATAAAGGGTGAGCTACGTTTGTTCATCTTGTCATACAATAAAAATAATTTTAATAAAACAATTTCCGCATGTTTTATGTTTCCCTCCACAGGGGTCTAGTTCCCCTACATAACGCCTGTTCGTACGGCCACTACGAGGTGGCTGAGCTCCTCGTCAGACACGGGGCCTCCGTCAACGTGGCCGACTTATGGAAATTCACACCGCTTCACGAAGCCGCTGCAAAGGGGAAATATGAGATCTGCAAGCTGCTGCTAAAGGTTTGACTTTGACGATCCTTTCCCAACACCTAACTTCCAGAATATTTAATGCAGATTTGCCATGCTGGGTATTTAAAACTGCTTTAGGCAGGGTTTTAGATCCAATGCAGATCTGTATTTACACACTAAATCAACTTTACTTTGAAGTAAAAGGGGAAATGACCTTCACACTGAAATGCTGCACTACCTTCTTAATTGACTAGACAATTAGATAATTACAGTTGAACTTTAATGGAGTTTTTGCTGCTGGATGATCAAATAAGTCATTAAAGACATTAGGAATATTGTAAATGACATTTTTCATCATTCTCTTTAAATATTTTGACTAAAGCATAAAAAGTTCATCTTTACTGGTTTCTGTGGCTCCAAGAGACATACATTTTACTGGATATAGTGACTTTACATCACATTTGGTTCATTCATATTTTGTTTGCAAAACGCAGTTAAACTGTGGAGCGGTAATGTTTTTGCTCGTATGTGCATGTATGTTTTTAAAGTTTGATCGAATTGGCGCTCTCATTTACCAAAAAAATCGGATCTGAATTTAAAAGTGTGGCATGAAAGGTGGTATGTAATATGCAATTCTTTAAGAGCATTAGACCTTAAATTAGGGCTGAACAATTAATTGCATTTGCAATAATATCGTGATATGATGAAATGAGATTTTATAATTGCAAAGGCTGCAGTTTGATTGGTCACGTGATCTGGTTACGTGACTTACGAGTGAGCAGAGCAGGGGAAGTCAACACTGCTTGAACTGTGCTTTATCGTTTCTTCGTGTCTCTCTCTTTCTACTGAAGACACTGCTCAACTCCTGTTCTCTTCACTGACCCCTCCCTTTCTCTTTTCTCTTTAAAATCTGTTTTAACCGTACAAAATCGTGTTTTTGGATTGTTGAGAACAGCTAAGCTAAGAAGCTAAGCTACAAGCTAAGCTAACAGGCCGACCTTGTGCATAAACCTCCGTCTTGTCGAGCTCCAAAATTCACGGTTGAAACTCGTGCCTTTGTGTAAAAAGTTGTTTTTTCTCTGCAAAAAGAAGCTGAGAACTTCTTTACTGATTTTTTTTTTTTTTTAAACTTTGTGTAAAAAAAAATGCTTTGCTAAAGAGCTCAAACCACCGAACATATGCAATGTCAAAATGTCAGCCCATGCCTCGTCAAGGGCCCTCCCTCCCCATTTTTCTTAAAGAGTCACCTGCTCAACTATCCATCCTTTGGTTCAAACAGTCTTATACTGCCATCAAGTGGTCAAAAAAGGTACTCCACACCAAACAAATCGACATTTCTTCTATAATTTGACAATTATTGTTAAAGTTCAAACAATATTATCGTTTACTGCAATAATTTCTGAGACAATTAATCGCCCAGAAATTTTTTTTATTGTGACAGGCCTAGTTACTACCTCTCGAGGTAACACCACAAATCTTTATCACCACTTAAAAAAACACCACAAAGCCATTTACGATAGTTGCATGGCTAGAATACCAACGACCAGTGCTTCAACTTAAATTAAACAAAGCACCAGCCGATGGCACACTGACCGAACTGTTCGATGTTATTCCTTCGTATGAACATACTACGAAACGACATGCAGAAATAACTCGAACAATAGAGAAGTTCATAGCGAAAGACATGATGCCCATTAATATAGTGACCAAGCCTGTGTTTACGGCTTTGGTAAACACAATGGATGAGCGGTACAGAATGCCCTCACACACACGTTTTAGCCAATTTGCTATCCCGGAGCTATTCAAAAAATGCAGAAACAGAGTTGCAGCAGAGCTGTGGAGTTTTATTTGCAACCGAAACAGATTGATTTATTGCTTGTGTTTGTTGAAAAAATACACGAGAAGAAGACATTGAAAAATAATTGCATATTAAATCGCAATATTAAGGTAAAAAAATCGCAATCTGATTATTTTCCAAAATCGTTCAGCCCCTACCTTAAATATATACATTTTTTGATCATTCTTAAAAGTTTTAATGTTCTGTAGTTAAAACTAGAATTAAAAACACATGCAGGTGATCAGCCACAACGTGGATCAATATATGGCATCAACAGGGTTCATAAACGATATTTACCCATATGACTCTGTGAACTGTCATATTTGTTGCAGCGTAGCTGGCGACAAAACAGGAAACATCTGTTAATGTTGTGGTTAATCGCGTCTAACGCTGTGCCTGTCAAGCTGCTCAGCTTCTTTAAAATCAACTTTTTTTTTTTTTCTGAATTAGCGGGTAAAACGTTTGTTAAATGTCTAATGAGATGCCAGCTTTCTCCGGTTTTCATAAAATGGTATGACTGATCATGTTGTCTGCAGGCATTCTGAAATGAAACAATCTGAAGGTGTGTTATGTAAGAGCAGTCTGCCACATCACTTTGAGCCCTAATGAATCCAGTAAAATGTTGCATGTGTACAGAAAAGTTGTTTTTCCAGAGCTTTTTAGTCTCTAATAGCTCTGAGTCATGCGTACCGTTTAAAACACGTAATGGGGGTGTTTAATGTTTGTTCTTGTTTTATTTGTTTTTAAATATGATGTATAAATACTATGACTAGTGTAGTGATTGAGTCTGAGCTTATCAGATGCAGACTGTTCTGTGTTCAATTTTCAACTTTTTAGTCACGTCCTTGTCCATGTTAATGTCCTTCAGATTTCTTTTCAAAGTATGGCTTCTCTAATAAATCAGTTCTTGATGATGGGAGTTGGCAGGAAATGTATATCTCATGGCTCCCTGTCAAATTCAGAATAGATTTCAAAATCTTACTTTAAACCTACAAAGCCCTCAACAACCTAGCTCCATCTTATATTACAGATCTTACCTTGTTCCATATTTTCCTAATAGAGCACTTGGCTCTCAGACTTCAGGTTTACTTGTGGTTCCTAGAGTTTCCAAAAGCAGAATGGGAGGCAGCTCTTTCAGTTATTAGGCTCCTCCTTCCTGTTCCTCTCAAACCCAGCCGGTCGAAGCAGATGACCGCTTGTCCTGGGCCTGGTTCTGCTCAAGGTTTCTTCTTCATGAGGGAGTTTTTCCTTTCCACTGTCGCCTGCATGCTTGCTCAAGATGAGAGTTCTGCCATGTCGTTAAACTCAAAGCATTCTGCTCCTCAGATAATTAATGTTATTAACTTACTCTTTAAGTATATGACTGTTTCTGTTCAGTGCCCTGAGATGACTTCTGTTGTGACTTGGTGCTATATAAATAAACTGAATTAAATTCTATTGAATTTAAAAGCTATCAAGTCTTTAATGAAACTTGTACCAAGTTTTTGGAATAGTGTGTTAGGTTTGAAACGTTCTTCAATAGTTTAACCCCGTTCGTTCATTTATCGTCAAATTCAACGACCTTGTTGAAATGGAACAATATTCTCATTTGTGATGTTTGAGTCATAAATCTTAATCATACCTCTGATTTATTTACAAAAAAATAATCCAGCTACATTCAAGTGTTTCAGAATTATGAATTTTGTTGTGATGTAAAACGTGGTTCAACTCCGATTTGATATCTAATACTTTAAATTTCAATTGCAGCACTTTGAATTTGCATCCTTGAAAGTTGCTCCTAAAGCTTTTTTTGTTTATCGTTTTAGATTTAACATGCAGGCCACCTAAAGCCTCCACACATAAAGGTTTCATGGTAAATTTATTATTGCACCATGTGTATTTGCTTTCTAATAAACTGAAAGTAACAGGATGCGTCCAAAGCGCTGACATATTCAATAAAATGATTATTTTTACGCTGGCACAGGTTTTGTTTAAAATTTCTTTACAAGGATTGTTTTTTATATACATATTTAAATGACTTCTATGGACTTGTCATTTTTCAGCTTGTGATTCTGGTTTTATGTTAATTTTCATTTCTTCATAATGCTCCATTGCAACCAGATCCCAAAGAACTTGTGAAGCCAAACTGTGAACTCAACCGTGTTTTTTCAGACTTCAGGAGGAGAGAATTTAGTCAGTAACCATCTGATGTGTTACGTTACTGTATCTGTGCAAGAACAAGTTTTAAAAAGTAAAATGTTCACATACAAATCCCATCCAGTGGTGTAATGACTGTCTAAGCAGGTGTTTTCTGTTTTCCTCCTGCTGATTTAAATCATGGCCCAACTGTGAAGTGGCTGATTTCTAATGCTTTCAGAGCTCCTGGTTGTCCACTTCAGCTGTGTTTAACTTTATTTTTAGGGTTTAAAGCACTTGGCTAAAAGCAGCTTTGATTTTAAAAGAAATAACTTAAACTAGAGACATGTTAACAGCTGAATGACTTTGATGAAATCTGAAAATGAATAATCTGATTATATAATTGGTTAAAGTTAAAACAAGCAAATCTGAAGCAGTAAAGTAGCTAAAAGCTAAGATCAGCAAAACTGTTGCTAGAAGCTAAAATTAGTTAAACTAGCTAAAAGCTAAGATTCACCAAACTGTAGCCTAAAGTTAAATTTTGTAAAACCATAACAAAATAAATAAATTTCTGAACAGTGTCCACAAGAAGCTTAAGTGGACAAAACTAGAATAAGTACGCTGAAGCAGATTTTAAAAAGCAATGTTTTGAAAGGAATTGAACTAATTTTATTTAATTATTTTGTAAGTAATTTAAAAAGAATAAAGGCTACAAATGCTAAAAGTCTCAGCCCACCATACCTGATGGAGCCAACTATGTGGATACATTGAACAGTTGAAATAGTACAAATTATACTGGAGTAGTTTATTTGCAAAACAGAAAAAGTAGGGATGCACGATATTGGATTTTTGGCCAATATCCGATATGCCAATATGTTAAAACTTATTTGACCAATAACCAATGCCAATACTCCTTTTTTTTTTTTTTTTTTTTCCCCTAGACCTACTTACAGAGTACATAGCTTTCTCTGCTGTGGTATTAAAATACTACATTATTCTGCATGGTCTTTGTCAGTTTGGTCTGCTACTGAGCAGACATTGCAAATAGCAGAAACTTTAAAAAAAACTTCCACACAGCCGACATTTTCACTTCTTCCTTTCCCGCCGTGATCAAAGCAGGTAGGTGCGCGTGACGTCATAACGTTGTGCTGGCGCTGCAGGCGTCCTTGTCACTGGGTTGTCAAACAAAAACAGTGCCTTTTACATCGGTGAGTTATTTTGATGGAATGGCTGATGTCCATAATTTAACTTTACTGCTAATATTGGCCGATACCATGGTGATAATATTGTGTATTCCTAAAAAAAAGTATGGAAGAAACTATAAAAACAAGATAACAGCTAGGCCTGTCGCAGTAAACAACAAATCAATTAATCGCATGATAAATGAAAATTATTGACCTCGTTTTCATTTATCGGCTTTATCGTTTCTTTGTCTCTCTCTTTCTACTGAAGACACTGGATGACAAAAAGATCAACTCCAGTGCTCTTCACTTACCCCTCCCTTTCTCTTTTCTCTTTAAAATCCATTTTAATTGTCCAAAATTACGTTTTGGGATCGTTAAAAGCAGCTAAGCTGAGAAGCTAAGATACGAGCTAAGCTAACAGGATGACCTCGGGGGGAAAAACCTCTGTCTTGTCGAAGCTCCAAAATCCACATTTGAAACCCGTGCCTTCGGGTAAAAAGTTGTTTTTCTCTGCAAAAAGAAGCTGAGAACTTGTTTACTCATTTTTTTTAAAAAAAAGCTTTGTGTGAAAAATGCTATGCTAAATAGCTCAAACCACACCGAACGACTGCCATTTTGAGAACCAAAGACAGCCCATGCCATGTCAAGGGGCCTCCCTCCCATTTTTCTTAAAGAGACATGCTGCTTGTTCCCTCACTATCCATCCTTCGGTTCAAACAATCTTGTACTGCATCTGGTGGTTGAAAAAAGGTATTGCACGCAAAACAAATGAACAAACATTTCTTCTTAAATTTGACAATAATTACTAATTATTGTCAAATTTCAAACAATATTATCGTTTATCGCAATAATTTCTGAGACAATTAATCGCCCAGCAAAATTTGTTATCGTGACAGGCCTAATAACAGTGTGAATACTGAATTAGCATTACACAAGAAACTATTACAGGTAGCAGAATACCTAAAATAAACATATACAAAGTTTTTCATGTTCTGTCTGTCTCAGGTCTGTTAGCACTTCCCTTTGAAATAGTTCATATCTGAAGCTGTTCTGGTGTAAACGATCACTGAATGGTATTCTTCCTCTGTTGATCTATGGTAAGCGCAGTAATGTAAGTTTTTTTTATGTTTTGTTTTTTACAGACTAATATAGTAGCTCAGCACGTGTCAAGAAACACCTTCTGATTTCGCATATTTGTTTGTCTTCAGTTTGCTAGAATTTTTCACGAGAAAAGCCGTTGTTTGTTTACATATATTACAAGCAGTTTTTTTTCTGTTGTTTTGCTCACTGTAATAGAAATATAGGCTTTCTTTGTCAAACCTTGGGCATGTTGCTTTTATTATTGGTGTTTTTTAAATTTTTATTATGTACAGTTCAGCAGATGAGCGTGTGCCTTCAAGCCATCTCTAGAGTTCAGGGACGGAGCAGCTCCCTCAGGCAACACTTTTATCTAAGTGATATTTGGTTCAGCTCCTGCGATAACGGGTCAGAGGGCGAGGGTTAGAAACACAGTTGTGGTGATCGATTATCCAAAGAATATGGAGGTTTATTTTTGGTATGGTTAGACAATTTCTTTAATGTTAAATCTTTGTTGGATTTTAAGCATTCAAAGGTAATTCTTGTGTACTCAGGGCATCACCTTCAATTCAGTTCAGGTTCTAGAATTGCGCTGCTCGGGGTGGTTGCATGTTGGAGCAGCTCTGTTACATTCATTCTGAGATATTGCTTTTGAACACTTTAATTCCTCTTTTTTCTAGATGTAAATCACTTTTTTTCGGATGATAACTTCCTCTGGTATCGGATGCTGTGCAGCTGGAAGGATTTTTACTGAAACCTTTTTACTTTTTTGGCCATTTGTTATGACGTGTAACCATGGCAACCAGGTGTTTTTTTTTAACAACCATGAGCAGCTGATTAACATCTCAAAAGCTCAATATGAAATATCTCAACTACAGCCCCAAATCCCAAATGAGTTGAAAAGGAGGCATAGTGGATGGATTCCTGTCAACCTGGCGGCGGTGCTCGAGTACCTGATCGCCAAGATCCTGGAGCTGGTGGGAAACTACGCTCGTTACAACGGAAGGACCGGGATCATCCCCCGGCACCTTCAGCTGTCTGTCTGTGGCAACGAGGAGCTCGGCAGGCTGCTGGGAAGAGTGACCATCGCTCAGGGAGGAATTTTGCCCGGCGTTTGGGCAGTCCTGCTGCCGAGAGGCCCGCCAGATCTGACAGCAAGCTGGATTCGGGTGGACGGATCGGTATCTGTGGCCAAATTCTTTGGATTTGCTGCAGGAGATCCTTCCTGCCCACAGCTCTCAGCATCTATAACAACCGTTAAATTTAATTTTGATTTGATTTTGTCTTTTTTTTTTATTTACCATGTCCTGGATGACTGAGAATCTTCACCAGCGTACAACTCTTGAATGAAACCAGGATGATGAGCTATGACAACACTTAATTTCCCTTTGGGATTAATAAAGTATTTTTGAATTTTGAATTTTAATCTGAGAAGCAACAGTGTGTTTCCTGGACTTTTCCTTTTATGTGAAAAGCCTCAGAACAGGACGTTCATGTGTTACTGCTCCAGAGTTCTGCTGCAGAGTTTATTTTATTCTATTCTCTGCTGGTTGCCTGCTTTGTTGTGGACTCACGCTCAGAATGAGACCGTGCAGCTTTTGTTTTCTGAATCCTTATACTTCTGGGAAACTTGCTTTTTATAAAAAAAATAAAAACATCAAAGAGGATTCTAAGTTTTAATTGGCGGATGTTTGAAGTGGTCTTGCTTGCATAAAATGTGTGATTGTGGACAACTTGCGATTAAGAATGAATGCCTGTGACAGCTGTCACAATTTTTAATAGGTTACGAAGTTTCAGCACCGTCTCATTAAGCTTCAAGATGAGTTATTTTTGAATGGACATGTTTTTGCTTTTTTTATTGTTTTTGTCATCGTCTTCTAAATGACTAACAATGTCATTACAACAGCAGATACAAACAAAATAAAGATCAAGAAGCAGAGCAGAAAACTCCCACTGGCTTCAGGATCAAAACAATTCTGAATCGAGCCGTGAGACCAATAACGGACAGTTCCAGGCCGCCAGCAGAAACCCGGGGGAGTGGTCCCATAACATCCTGTTTTAATGAGCACATTTCAGAGCTTACAATGAAACGACAAGTTAAACTTGTAACCTAGGAGACGGCTGAGTGATGACAATGCCTTCTTTTCTTTCATCCCTTGGGGTGTGTGATGTTTCCGCTTCACCAGGTGTCCTTTCCTCACCTCTCTACTATGTATTTACATTTATCTTCCCTTCCGCTCTCTAATAATTATCCTCAACTCACCCTGCACTTGTCGTCATGTAGTTATTGCCCAGACTGATTACACTCTAGACTTCTGAGCAACGCTATTTAAAATGTTTAGCTAATGTTTTATTGTGACTTTCAGTCTGCGGACTCAGTTAATCCTGGGATTTTTATTGCAATATATATTTTAAGGGTACATTTCCACATTTTAGGAAAAAATGTTTTGAGACATGTGATTTGATTAACACATTTAAAGAATTTCTTTGTAGCCTCTGACAACAGTTGGGTCTCCAGTCTGGTCTTGTTGGATCTCAGTGCTGCATTTGACACCGATCTCTACGAAATACGATTATTGGATATTATTGAATCAAATGATGCTTCACTTTGGTTTAGCTCATTTCTCCTATTTGACACAGTCCAGAAAAAACACAAAAACAATTATTTGTTTGCTCGACATTATAGCAAAGGTGTGTCTCAGTTGAACTTTTACTAAATAAATGCACTTCAGTCGTCAAATCAGCTACATTTCGCCAGGGCAGCGCAGTGAAATGAAGCTGATTTGATGGTTGCTCCAGGTGTGATCCCGGAGCTGGACGAAGGCGGCCGCTATGGCAAGCCGTTTGTGTCATTAATAGCCACTTTTACGTATTACTCAACACAACGGCATGCCATACTACTGAAGTGCCATCTAGCTGTTGAAAATGGTTTGTGTTCAATATTTTCAATGTAAGAATGAATGAAAACGGTCAAATCTCAGCCAAAAATTAGTTTATAAATATGGGGAAAAAACATAAATATGTTGCTTCGGTGTATAAGTCGCAGGGCATGCAAATTATGCAAATATACAAAAAACTGCCACTTATAGACTGAAAAATATGGTAAGAGCGATTTGTCTTTTTCCAACATTTTGTTTCCCTGTGTATCAAACTCCTTCAGTGTTGGCCTCTTCTCTCTCTAGCATGGAGCAGACCCAACCAAGAAGAACCGAGACGGGAATACGCCCCTGGACCTGGTGAAAGACGGGGACACTGACATCCAGGACCTGCTGAGAGGAGACGCTGCACTGCTGGACGCTGCTAAGAAAGGCTGCCTGGCCAGGGTACAGAAGCTGTGCAGCCCTGACAACATTAACTGTCGGGACACACAGGGGCGCAACTCGACCCCGCTGCACCTCGCAGGTAACGGGCCCGAACAACGGCACACATTCACACATCCCTATGATCATTATTAATATAAACTTTCAGATGGATAAAAGTTAAAGGTTCTAAATAAGTGGATGTTTAAACATTGGTTTCAGTGCATCATTATTCTGAATCCTAAAAAAAAATCATAATTTTCACCCTATTTGTTAGACCTCTCAGTAAAAGCTTATGAATGATACATGAACACAAGTCTGAACAATCTTCAGAGGACTTTTTGGCACATAATAAATAAAACTGGCTTTTTAGGATCAGAAAACCCCATACATTTTTTAGTGGAAACAGATTTTCCTCACACAATAATGTAATGAAGGCATCTGCTTTTTGCAGCCTGCTTTGTTCATTGAACATTTATATTTACAATAAGAGAGGTCACTGAAGTTTTGTAGAGCGTCATAAACATCTCATACAAAGACACAAAGGAAAAGAAGCAAAGAAAAACCCTTTTTATTTTATTGTTTTTTGTTTGACTAGTCTTAAAGAAGCTTGTCTTTTGGCAGGAAAGGATCCCACAGTTTGTTTTAGTGCCAATCACTCAACCTCCAGTTAGTCTGTAAAAGCCGTCCTTCGATTTCTGGCACTGCTCTGTGCCAAGAGCAAAAAAGTAAACGTGCCCAGACAACTAAAGTCTCGAGGACAAAAACACAGTAAGAATAAAACTCAGGACAGTTATTCAGCCTGTCTATCACTATTTAATGAAAAAGCTCATAAGTTCATAGAAATGCGGTCCCCACGGATAGACCCCAGTGGTTGATAGTCGATTTATTCATTCCATCACCATTCCCCAATGTGTGCAGTTGTGTTTCTTTATTACGCATAATCTAATTCAGGAAAATCTTCTTATTTTGTTCAAAATGTGAAAGCTTTCTGTTTTTCCTTGATGACAGCATGTGGCTGAAATGCTTTGGGCTAGGGGTGCACCGATAAATTGGCTCTGATTTCCTTAATTTTGGGAGATCGGAAATCGGACGATGCACGAGAAACCGATTTTACCGATTTTTTTTTTTTTTTTTTTTAGTTTCAACAACAGTTGTCTGAACTTCATTTATATGTCAGAGCACTACCTCATGACCAGTTAAAACAAGTTTGTCTTGTGTCTAAGATATTGTTCAAGGGTATGTTTTTCCAACAAAATAAGATTGAAAATTGAAGTTGCATTGTGACCTTATAGCACCTGACAGTGTTGCTTATAAAACAAATCTGGTACCGGCCAAAATCGAAATTGGCAGTTCAGACTTTTTAGAAATCGGTGAAAGGCCAGAAAACTGCAATTGACGCACCCCTACTTTGGGCCATTAGTCCGTTATTTTCATTTTAATTAATTTAACCTTTATTTAACCAGGCATAAACACTAAGAACACATTTTTTATTTATGGTGCTGGCCTGGCACCACCAACAGGTACTGGTAGGGTCAAGGGAAGGGAAATCATACAATTGGGCAAAACAATAAAATATAGTAATCAATAACAAACAAGGAAACCACATCTTACATTAACAACACTTCATCAACATTACTAAGCATGAAAACATTTGCACGTATCTGTAAAAACGGCTTTTAAACAATTTTTAAAACTAGAAACAGAGACACGTGAGGTCAGTCCCAAAGGTTTTTGAAGAAGATTCCAGTCAGATGAGGCAGCAGAGGCAAGACTTGGTCTTTAGAGTTGACGACAAATACTGAAAAGATCGGGTGTTATACTTCGAAACCGGTGCTAGTTGCAATAGATTAGTTAAATATGGAGGTGAATAACCAGCAACGTTTTATAAATGTGGGTAAACTGATGAATTTCATGACGAGTATGTAGAGAAGGCCATTTAACAAGAGAGTAGTGACAGTGATGTGTTCTATAAGGAGTATTAGTAACAAAGCCAGTAGCAGAGTGATAAATTGTGTCCAGCTTACGAAGGACACCTTTACAAGCATGTCTGTAAATTATGTCTCCATAATCCAACAGAGGTAGAATGGTTTTTTTGACAATGGGACTTTTTGCAGCCAATGTAAACAATGATCGATTTCTATATACTGTAGATAACCAAGTCTCTCTTTAACCTTAGGTTGCAAAACATGAACACAGTGTGAAAAGGACAGAGCACCATCAATCCCAATTCCCAAATATTTATAAACTGTTACCTCTTCTATAATATCACCGTTTACAGTGGTGAAGTCCACCGAGGTGGGTATGGTTCCCACCCGGTGTTGTGTGGTGTTGTATCCCGCCTGGTAAGGTGTAGAATACGTACCATTTAAATATTGACTGAAGACACCAGAATTTCTTTATAAACATGTCCTCATTTACCACATGTTTCATATCTGCATATCTATTGTGCTCACAAGTAATGGTGGTTGACCTAGAACACACTTGAAGTCTCACACAAGATTTAAGCTGTTTCAAAGTCTTGGAGCTGAGATAATCTTTGTATCCTCAAGGGTACACAAGATCGCTGTTATATATGTATATATTCAGGATCTGCAATAAATGTGACATCAGTAGCAGAGATAAGAGATAAGCCGTTCTGCTGTAGCACCTCACAGGCTCAAACGGACACAAACGAATGCCTAATGTGATTTAAACTGCTATAGCCCATAGGAAAAAAAAAAAACCCACTGGTGGTGCAAACCACAGAAAAAGTCCAGATATTTAAACAGATTATTTTTCTTTCTTAATATGTGTGGTTTTGTCAAATGCATCTGGAATTAGGCAAGTGAATTTGTTTTCCTTGTTTAATTTGAAGTTTAGTTCATATTGTCATTAGGTTTTATGATTCGTTCACGTCTGTGCAAATAGATGTTAGAAATGATCGGCATTGGCGTTCAAATAAATACATTTTGAGTTTCTTCACTGAAGCACTTGTTATTATAAGATGGGAATGAATCTGGAGTTTTTGTTTATTCTTTGCTGTTCTTATAATTAATAATGAATCTTTTTTTTTTCTTCTTTGTATTTTCTCAGCTATGAAAGTTATTTTTGCAAGTTTAAGTAGAGCTTTTTTGAACATGTATTTAATTTGCTGACAGTTTTGTTTTTGGTGACCATCATATATGCTTTTATTATAAATTGTTTTTCAGTTTGACTGACAATTTTTAGGTTTCCAAACTGCTGAAAAGCACTTAACAAATCTGTAAATTTCATTTTGTAGACCTGATTACTTAAGCACACCTTCTTCTTTGATGCCTTTTCGTTTAAAAAGAAAATACGATCTATTCAGTAACATCACAGCTCATTCAGTCTGCCATATTTTATTCTTATTCATTTCTCATCATCTGACTCTTGTTTCTCATCCCGGTCTCTCCGTGTATCTGAACCCATGTGCTGACCTCTAGCTGGATATAACAACTTGGAGGTGGCAGAATATCTGCTGGAACATGGAGCCGACGTGAACGCTCAGGACAAAGGAGGCTTGATTCCTTTACACAATGCTGCTTCATACGGGGTAAGACAAATGCACTGATTTTGTCACTCCCTTAGCAGTTGTGCTATAGCTGGGTTTTTTTTATCTTAAGGACAATTTGTCTCCTTTAAAAGTGCCAGCTCAGTTTTAATCAATAATATTAGAAAAGGTGGATTTTCAGCCTTTGTTTCATCTTTATAAAATCAAATACCGTATGCGGCCGGTTGACCAGGCGCTAACCGGCCGGTTGAAAGAGGTAAAAAAAAAAAAAGAAGTCCAGATGGATGACTGCCAACGATCCATCCAAGCCCAACTGGACTCAGCCGCTGCATCAACGGACCTGCAATTTATAATCAGCAGAACAGGTTATTTATATGGCGGCATTTTACTTCTGTTACGCTTTTCTTTGTTGTCTTCTATGTACTCGCTTAGTGAATGTTTGGTGGGAGGGCGGCTGGGACGTAGCATACAGGAACAACATATATGTAAGTCTACTTGTAGTTGTCAAAAGCCTAGAGGGCCCTCTAGCGCCTTTAGCGACTGCAGTTGGTAATGCTTACTCTGGTTCTTATCAGTATGAATGAACATTTAAAGCGTCGGTCAAAAATTGCGTCATGAGTATGGGAAAAAATTTATATAAGTCTCTTCTGACTATAAGTCGCAGGACTGGCCGAACTATGATAACAAATAGTGACTTATAGTCCGAAAAATACGGTATTTGCTGTTTCCTGCTTCTCATATCTTAAGTTTAACATTAAATTGTGTAAATGAGCACTATTTATCCTCATTCTCTCTCACTATTTCGATTTACCATCATTTTATCCAATAAATAAGAAACTGAATTTTGACATAACTTGTATTATTCTTGCCTTTATATTTAAAAGTGGAGAATTTTTTTTCCAACATCTTCTCTGCAAATATTAAATGCTCTGTTTTGCTATGAAAATCTAAGCATCTTAGTTCATTCCATCTAAAGTCCGCAGTGAGAATTATTACTACTATTAGACCAGTTAAAAATAAGGTTAAAAACAGAAGCACCTGGACTTCTATTCTGAAGCTGAATACGTTTCTCTTCCCATCCGGGAGGCTTTATCAATTCAAAAAATTGTTTTGAATTTTGTTTTTAACCTTTGTATTTTATTGATCATGACCTGGATGATTGAGAATCTTCACCAGCATACGATTAGACCTTGATTCATTAAAAAAATAAAATAAAATAATGCATGTTTGTGATTTATTTCATCCATACTTTAATGTTCACATTTAGTCAGTGTGGTGCTACTAAAAGATTCATGAAACACATGTTTGGATGAATGTTTCATAAATTTTGGTTTGTAGAAAGACAAAAACACTCCATGTGCCATTTCTCAGAAGCAAAAAGCTATGTGTTTTGACGCTAGGACAAAAGAGGTGGAAGAAAGACGAGTGGTTTTAACAACAAAGAGTAACAACACGATTAGTAACTGTTTCTGTTCAACACAAATCCCACTTTTTTAATCACTTCTTTTAGCTCCAGCTGAGAAACACGTTGAACATGTCCGCTCATCTCTACCTCTATGCTTCGTCTAGCACGTGGACATAGCCGCCCTGCTAATCAAGTACAACACGTGCGTCAACGCCACCGATAAGTGGGCTTTTACGCCCCTCCATGAAGCAGCGCAGAAAGGTCGAACTCAGCTCTGCGCTCTGCTGTTGGCCCATGGAGCTGATCCCACCATGAAGAACCAGGAGGGACAGACGCCGCTGGACTTGGCAACGGTAACGAGATGCTGCCTCGCAGATCTCTCTTAGATTCGGCTGTAAATTCCTCCCAGTGGGACCCTCATGCTTGTGAGTCGCAGCTTGCCTAAACTAATGTTTGGATGACTATAGGGTGAACAGAGCAGAGCACTATCGGGATTCTGTATAAGTGGAAATGGTGGAACAGAAAAATGTCTCTCTCCCTCAGTACTAATGATGCATTATAATAGTCATTCGTTACATGATTTTTCTTATGATTTGACAGTTGTGACTCTTGAAAATTTGTTGTTAAATGCTGAAATATTAGAGGAAATACAATAAAAGCTAACCTCACATCAACACACATGTTCCTATTATTCATTCATATGTATGTTTTTCAGGCTGATGACATCAGAGCGCTGCTGATTGATGCCATGCCACCAGACGCCCTGCCCAGCTGTTTAAAACCACAGGCCACTGTGGTGAGTTCCCATACACCAGTGGGTTTCAAATTGTGGGGCACGACCTGTTGGAGAGTTCGCAGGGTCATGACGTGGGAGGCGCGTGACTACTATTTTTATTTTATTTACATTTTTGGGCCTTAAAATTGCAAGCAGAACAAATGTTTAGATGTTGGCACCTAGGCTTGTTTTTGTGATTATTCAAGTAAGAGTCTGTACTATAGGGACACGAGACTGTACAGAGGTTAATTTGGATTCTTATTTGTTTACCAGTTACAGACCCATCTCTTCCTTTTCTGGCAAAGATTCTAGAGAAGGCTGGGGTCAAGCAGTTAACCAGTGCTCTTGATCACCACAGTATTCTGGACCACATTCAGTCAGGGTCCCACTCAACTGAAACAGCTCTTAGAATCTCAAATTATATTTTGATGCAACGTGACACAGGTAAATGTTCTGTGCTGCTTATGTTGGCCCTGACATCTGCTTTTGACACTATTGATCATCCGACCTTGTTAGATAGGCTGAGGAGTTGGGCTGGTATTTCAGGTTCTGCTTTGAAATGGTTGTCCTCTTGTCTGATAGATCAGTCTTCTTGGCTACATCTACATACAGATCCCATTACTGCCCTTTTCATTTTGGCGTTCCACAGAGCTCTGTTTTGGGGCCATTGTTGTTTCTGCTCTATCTGCTCCCTTTTGGTCCAATACTTTCATCTTTTAAGGATATCTCCTATCATTGTTATGCTGATGACATCCAGTTATATATTTATTTTCTTCCAAATGAAGTTTTGACACTACAAATGTTACTTAACTGTCTGAATTCAATGAAAAACCGGATGAGTGAAAATTTTCTCCAGCTAAATAGAGAGAAAACTGAAGAAATCATCTTTGCACCAGAAAAAACTACTGTAATGATAAAGCAGATCCTTGGGCCTCTTGGTTACTTTGCTAAATCTTCTGTTAGAAACCTTGGGATAACCTTTGACCCAGGTTTTACTCTCGAAAATTATGTAAAGTCTCTGGTTTGTTTCTGTTTCTACCATCTGTGAAATATTGCCAAGCTTAGCCATACGGTCTCATCCAGAATTGGAAATCTTAATTCATGCTTTTGTTTACTCTCGCCTGAAATTTTGTAATGCACTGCACACATGTTTAACTAAAACCTCCCTAGACCAGTTGCAGTCTGTACAGAATGCTGCTGCTAGACTCTTGACTGGATTTTAAAAAATGTTGTCATATAAGTCCACTTCTAAAGCAACTCATTGGCTCCCAGTTCATTGAGTGGATTTCAAGATTCTGGTTTTGACTTAATGAGCTCTGCATGGACAGACACCAATTCACATCTCAGAACTTGTATGTCCCTTCACCCCGATCAGGGCTTTGAGGTCTTGTAATCAAGATCTGCTCATTGTCCCCCCAGAAAAAAATGTAAACTCAAGGAGACCGAGACTTTTCCTCTGTGGCCCCAAGACTCTGGAACTCCCTTCCTCAAACTTTCAGATCAGCGGACTCGGTGGCTTTTAAAGGCCAACAAAAAACTTGTCTTTTTAAATCTGCCTTTGCTTAAATTTGTTTTGTGCTTTTGTTATTTTGTTTGTTGAAGCACTTTGTGGTTTTTATCTTGAGAGGTGCTATATAACTAAAGTTTTACTTACCTACTTACTTGGTTACATCTCTCTTTCATGGAGTAAAAGTTTAAATCACAGCTGAACTGCCACTTGTTCCAAGTCTGTTTGCTCTCCATGTTCTAACCTATGTGCAGAAATGTTCCCTGAGGATAAACGGGGTCATCTGAGCTAACAACCAAAGCTGGAGTAAAGTAGAAAGTTAGTGTTAACAGTGAAAGCAGAACAAAATAGATTTGTGGTTTCATTTTTTATTTGGTGTTAACTCTCAAGGCAGTTCATTTGTGAGTTTGCATGTTCATTTTGAAAACTGCCAAGCTGAAAACTAATCAGACACCTGAATGTGTAAGAGATGAAAGCAGCCGAGCTGTCGGCTCACTTATTAGTCGTGCAATCAGTCAAATCAGCGACTCAGCAGGAGATGAAAGCAGCAGGCACTTCAGCTGAAGCATCAAATTAGTTGAAGTGTTTGCTCTGTAAAGTTTTATTTTAAGTGCCTTTGTCGTTTTAACGTCAGTGAATAGATCAAATAATCTCATTCTCACAGGTGAGCGCAAGCGTGGTGAGTACAGGTGCAGCAGGGGGTGTGGTCATCTCGCCCACTCCGTCTCCGTCCTGCCTTTCAGCAGCCAGCAGCATAGACAACTTGAATGCACCCCTCGGTGACATCACAGTGGGAGGGGCATCCGGCATCGCAGACGGGGCATCTGCGTCTGACAGGAAGGAGGGTGAAAGTACGAATTCACACACAAGCTGTGACTAAAATCTGATGTTTGAATGTGGAATAACAGTTTGTGACATATTTAACTCTGCAGCTCTGCTCGACATGACCATAAACCAGTTCCTAAAGAGTCTGGGGCTGAAACACCTGCAAGACATCTTCCAGAGAGAGCAGGTACGCAAACATGTTTTGTATGGTTAGCACAGAAGACCTACTGTGTAGCAGTGACAAGGCCAGGAGTGGAAAAAGTGACTTAATCTCTTCACGATTGCACACAGAATCATTTTTTAACTTAATTTTTTAACATTTTTGCATCAGTCCAAATATGTCTAACAAAGTGGAAAAATCCATAAATACGTCGCTTGGCCATACACATCACATCTATTGTGCGACACCACTGACGCATCGTGTTTTTTACGAGTCACCACTGACAACCCGGAAATGTTGGCCAGTGTTGTGCTAAAAATTGTTTGGCTGCCAAATGGCGGCCGCAGAAGTGTGCACGGGAGGACTTTTAACATGAATTTTACAAGATTTAACACTTAAAAACAATTATTTGTTTGTGTGAATATATAGTAAAGGTGTGTCTCAGTTTAATTTTTCCTTAATAAATGCACTTTACCTGTAAATCAGCTGCATTTTCAAAAGTATTCGCTGCCTCGGTGCTCCATGAGCGTGCTCTGAGTGAGGAAATCAGGAAGGAGGAACGCTGTACATTTCTTCAAAATTTAACAAGATAAGCACCTAAAATAATTATTAGTTTGCTTGACATTATAGCAAAGGTGTGTCTCAGTTTAACATTTACTTAATAAATGCACTTCAGTGTTCAAATTGGCTGCATTTCTCCGGGGCGGTGCAGAGAAATGAGCTGATTTGACTGTTGTTCCAGGCGAGCTGGACGACGGTGGCACTCTGTGGTAAACCGAATGGGTCATTAATAGCCACTTTTACCTATTACATGACGCAACATCATTCCATACTATTCGAGTGCCATCTAACGGCTGAAAATGGTAGTGTTCAATATTTTCAGTCAGAATGAATGAAAACGATCATATCTCAGCCAAAAATTGGTTTATAAATATGTGAAAAATTCCATAAATACATCTCTTTGGCATATAAGTCGCAGGGCATGCAAATTATGCAAAAAAAGTGACCTATAGGCTGAAAAATATGGTAAATGCATATAGTTATACAGAGCCAAATAGTCATATCTAAAAATATTTAGCTCACCTTGGAGATGGATGCTGACTTTTGTTATTTGTAACTTTTATAGTTTAGAAAAAAATATATATATATTATCTCCCTCCCACCCCCCCCCCCGTAAAGATACATGGAGATTACATTTGGTTCTATTAAAAGCATTGCTCCCTTTGAAATCTGAACATTTGGCTTTGTTCAGTTTTCTTAAGTAATTTGACCTTCTAGCTTTGGTTAATATCCTGCTACTTTTAGCTTTTAGCTAGCCTTTTGCTACTAATTTGCTACTTTTAGTTTTTATTTAATTGTTTGCTTTTTTTGGCATTAGTTGGCTTTAGGCCAGATATTTCACTACTTTTTAGATTCCAGCTATTTTTTCGTACTTTTACTGATGTCGTTTGATGCTTGTTTTTGTTACTTTGAACTTTTAGATCAATTTTGCTACTATAGCTTATAGCTACCATTTACATTACTGCTTATATTATTTACTATAGTTTGGTTTACTGTCACACATCTTTAAGCCTCATGGTATTCCATCTGACTCCTATAAATTGTTTTTAGTGCTAATTAAAACAATTAAAATTCTTTAAAAAGTCAGATGAAACCATAGCAAGTAGAGGAGAAGAAAACAAAGAGAACTGTAGAGATGGAAGCTAAAAAAAGAAGGTGAGAATAATGAGAAAAATGTTTATGCATCAGGATTCTTGTCTTATTTTATTCCCAACATACATTTGCTGTTCAGATAGAGGTTCAGTATGTCACGGATAGGGGTTGAACGAGAATATAATCTTTAAACTCGACATTAACATAATAAAACCCGAGTAGAACTCGAGTATTTGATTACGTCATAGATCTCAAGATACAAAAATAAATAAATAAATAAAACCGCAAAAAAAGATAATTATTTACACAAAAAAAGACCAACAAAACATTGGGAGCGTATATTATGCTCCTACCATTTATCATACTGCAAGTAAGTCACAGGAAAAACTAAACTATTAGTTATTATTATTAAACTGCAAACGTGAAGAAATGCAGAACATCAAAAACGAAACTTAAACCGAAACTGGTTCTGGTGGATTGGACCCGGCGTTACACCATACTCTGTGACCTGCAACAGTGCAACACCGCCCCCTACGGTCATACGTGGTCACGTAATATGATGTCACTACGGATACCCGACTTTACATTTTTAACCTCAATAGATGTCCTAGCAATCGATGTGTAGATTACTCGAGTACTCTGTTAATGCCCTAGTCACGGATAAGTTGATGTGCCTTTCTGTATTGTCTCAGGAGGATGCCAAAGATTTATATCATTGGATTTATGAGAGCAGGGTTTCTGCGTTTTGGCACCGTCGGATACCTATGTTATCGGCTATTAAAGAACATGGCGGCAGCAATTCTGGCCATGGCAAAGCTGCCGGCCTCATCTGAAGGTTTGGTTCGTGCTTCGAGCAGACTCGACTGATTACGAGCTCAACCGTAAGATGGAAGCGATTTATGAGAATCGTAGGCCACTGGCGGCTTCTGGGATTCACCAGCATGTTGGGTACAACCTTGGATGGAGCTTATAAGCACGGACCAGTGGAATGCCCACAAATATGGTCATTTTGGTTATCGAAAGTATCAGCAGAACTCAAGGCTGACGAGAAATAACAGTCTGCCTGAAAAAAATTAACAACCTTGGCTTATCTGAATCTGACTCCCCCGTTAGGCCTTGAAGCAGGCCAACTTATCAAATTTCTCCTGGGAGATGTGTAAACTAAGAAGGCTTTGCTCTATCCCCCGTGCAAGCCACCCCCCCACCACCACCACCACCCAGAGAACTTCTGTGAACGCTTATCAGAGCTATACCGGCTGACACTACATCTTATCAGGACTATGGTGCTATCTGGAAGTGCTTCGTGGACAAATCTCACTGTCTTGTTGTCAAATGCATATGTATTTATAAATGTGCTTGCTGGTAGAGATTTTTGATGTCTTAAATCATATCCTGACAAGGACAAGGTGTAAAGAGACCTTTTTTGTAATACCACTATTCTTTCTTTGTGGTCTTTCTCGTTTTTCTATGTAAAGAAAAAGGACCGCGCTCTTAGGAGCAGCAGCAACGTGCACTCCGCCCATCTTTTGGACGACTGTACTGACATAATCTCGCTGTACTTCAGCGCAAAGATAATAAAGCTGATTCTGATAAACAAATTACAAAAATGACAGGGTCCGAAATCAAACAAACAAGAAAATGTAATAAACGCTGAAACAATAATTGTTCGTCTTTGTTCAAATTCAGTGTCAAATTAATATTTCCAGAAGAACGGAGAAAGTTTGGAGTTGTTTTTTCTTTTAAAAATAATTTTAAAACCATTGATTTGTTCCTTTCAAATACAAAAAAAAAGATGCACAATTCTCTCGATTCTGGTAAGCATAGTTTTCCTACCAACAATACCCAGATGTTTTATTTATTTAATTAATTTATTTATGTATTTATTGCATGGGTGAAGCTTCCATCTCTTTAGTGTCAAACAGATACTTGTTTCTAAAGTAAGTTACAGGTTGGCTGATGAACATCTCAGTAATTTTTCAACAAAGTGTATAGGCTGTGATGATTTATTCCTGTTATCTGTGATCGTCACGTTGCAGAGAAAATTTATCTCTGCACCGCAGAGCGAATCTCATCTCCGATCTCCCTGAGCAAACTCAGGGAGCAGAAAGCACTTTTCACCACTCATCCATTTGCATATCAGCGCTGTGATTGCTGCCACTTCGTTCAGTGACCTTTTCTTCCTGCCTCTTCCTGCTTTCATGAATATTTGTCAGGCCTATTTTCTCCATAATGTGCCATTGATTATTCAGCCCGTTGTCATTATAGGTGGCAGTTTTGATGAACAGCTTTATGGACTGCTGTTGTCACCATTAAACGGCATGTGTTTGTTTGAAGAAAGTAAATAAAATTCCTGCTGTGGATTATAGGTGTTTTATGTATGCAGTCCTAATTGTTGATTGTTCCTATCAATTTATATTATTCTAGCATTGAACAAAAGCAAAACTGATGAGATGGATTTTTATTTTTTAATCTCTTGGCAGATTTCACTGGATGTACTCGCAGACATGGGCCACGAGGAACTGAAGGAGATTGGTATAAACGCCTATGGTCACAGGCACAAACTCATTAAGGGCATTGAGAGGCTCCTGGGAGGTCAGCAGGGTCAGTAGTTAAATTCACAAATGCATGCGTTGCTGAAAGCATGTCTTGAGTTTTTACATGAATGAACTAAAAACACTTCAAATGCATTTTAATGAAAACACATTGGATGTCAACAAGGATAAGTTTAAAAGATTTTTTTTATAAAAACAGGGTAGATGGTTATTTTATGTCTGAATCTTAAGCTTTGCACACTTTTAATTAGAAATTATCCAGAAACCCTAAAAAATGTTTTGTGTTGAAGTCCTACAAATAAGTCTTGTAAATGTTTTCACAATGCCCCATAATGACAAAACTAAAAAATAAATGAAAGGTTTTTTTTTTCCAAAAAGCAAATTTGTACTTAGTGGTTGGTCAGAATATTTTTGCCAGGGAATTTAGCTTTAAGTGTTCTTGAGAGCTTTGTGCATCTGGATTTACAGTTATTTTGACATCTTTCAGCTGCCTTGTTGAATGGGAACCATCCAAGACTGGTTGAATAGGAACCATCAAGACTCAAAGACTGGTTCAATGGGAGCCATCAGACTGGTTCAATGGGAACCATTCAAGACTAGTTGAATGGGAATATCCAAGACTGGGTCAATGAGAACCATCAAAGACTGGTTCACTAGAAACCATCAAAGTCTGGTTCAATGGAAACCATCCCAGACTGGCTCAGTTAAAGCTATCCAAGACTGGTTGATTGGGAAATATCCAAGACTGGTTTTATGAGAACCATCAAAGACTGGTTCGGTGGGAGCCATTGGCTTGAATCAATGGGAACCATACAAGACTGGTTGAATGGGAATATCCAAGACTGGTTCAATGAGAGTCATCAGACTGGTTCAATGGGAACCGTTCAAGACTGGTTCAGTGGGAACCATTCTCAAGACTGTTTCAATGGGAATATCCAAGACTGGGTCAATGATAAACATCTAAGACTGGTTCACTGGAAACCGTCAAAGTCTGGTTCAATGGGAACCATCCAAGGCTGGTTGAAGGAGAACTGTCCCAAGACTGGTTCAGTGGAATTCAGCCAAGACTGGTTCAATGTAAACCATCAAAGACTGGTTCAGTGGGAACCATTAAAGGCTGGCTCGATGGGAACCATCAAAGGCTGGTTCATTGGGAATAGCATTGGGTCAGTGAGAACCATCAAAAACTGGTTCAACAGAAACCATCAAAGACTGGTTCAACAGAAACCATCAAAGACTGGTTCAATGGGAACCATCTAAGGCAGGTTGAAGGAGAACTGTCCCAAGACTGGTTTAGTGGGGTTCACCCAAGACTGGTTCATTGGGAACTGTCCAGGACTGGATGATTGGAACCTATTCAAGATTTGTTCAACTGGAACCATCAAAACTTATACAATGGGAACCATCAGAGAATAAATAAATTGTCTACTGTTACTTGATCACAAATGTTTACTAAACCACCTCATTTACATAACTCCTATTATTTAACAACTAAATATTTTGGGTTTGTCCTAAAAATAATTTCAATTAAAGTCAATTGTATATTTTGAATTAGAGACAAATAGTATCGAAAAACAACATAGTGATCGTAAACATCCAAAACGGAGCACGCAAGGCTGTAGTGGGTTAACGAGAAGCAGCCGTGGGCTGTGGGTGATTGGATCAAATTGATAACCACCAATCTGAATCAGGTATTGAGAGAATAATAATAATTTTTTAAAGTTTTAAATGATTTAGTGTTAAGGTTCAAAACAAAAAGTGAAAAGGAGTTTGAATACTTTGTGGATGAAAATGTAATTCAGAGCTCATCGTTATTTACTGTTATTTGTTTTTAAAATTGTTTGTAGGTGCAAACCCATACTTGACGTTCCACTGCTCCAGCCAGGGCACCGTGCTGATCGACTTGGCACCGGATGACAAAGAGTTCCAGTCTGTGGAGGAGGAAGTAAGACCCTGTTTACTTCTCAAGTGACGGTAATCGTTTCTTTTACAAGGTTGACTAAACAGGTTTAGACTTTTCTCAGAGGATACGTGCGTCATTGGAGAAGACCCTCATCGTAATGTCCCCACTTCAGAACACGATGCTCTATTCGGCCGCTTCATCGGCGATATTGCTCATGTAAATGAGACCGCACGCATCAGTGTGACTGTGCTTCACTTAATGAGAAATGGCATTAACAGACATTTTACAGGTGATCTCAGCTGTAATCTTTAGATGAGGACTGAGAAATAACAGACACAAAAAAAACAGAGTTGACAACAAACCGGTGATAGTCGGCAGTCTGTCCTCATTACAGCTTCATTTCCCACAAACGGCTCCATTATTTTCTAACTTGACAAACTGCAGCTTTTATTTTACTGCTGATGCTTCACGTTTTCAGCGGAATTGTTCATAATTTCCCACAGGCGCTGTGCAGGTATCTGATTAAAGGAGTTGCTGCTCTCTCAGTGAACGTATGGCTTTTCTAACAGCTGAATAGCGTGTGACGCATTTGTTTCCCATGTGCTTTTTTGTGTGTTTTGATTTGTGTGGCGCTTGTTGACGTCGCCCTCAGCTGCAGAGCACGATCAGAGAGCACCGCGACGGAGGCAACGCAGGCGGAGTCTTCAGCCGGTACAACATCATTAAGGTGCAGCGTGAAAACACACAGTCACATCGTACAACAGCAGGTTTCTCTCTTCTACACAGAAAATAGGAGTCTGAACTTTATTACTGTGAAGCTCAATTTATTTTCAGTTTCTGCGATGACTTTGGTAATAATATTTTCTTCTTATCGCAGATTCAGAAAGTGGTGAATAAGAAGCTACGGGAGAGATACTCACACAGGCAGAAGGAAATAGCTGATGAGAATCACAACCATCACAACGAGCGCATGCTCTTTCATGGTAATGTATAAATGGGTTAAAATAAAGAAAAACATAAGTTTGATTAATTTTATACGGTGTAGGTGGATTTAGTTTTATGCTGCTTTTTCTACTCAAGCATTTTTCTTACTAATAAAATTTGTTTATGTGCATGAAGTGCTGTAATAAGTTCTGTGTAAATTTTCAAATTAATTTAGTAAATATTACTCTCTGGACCAATAACGTAAAAATTGGAAAAAATATATAATATGTGTTTAAAAATATAGAAACAACCAGAGCCATTATGCAATAGTTACTGTAACAAGTGTTCATACGACGACTTGAAATCCTAAAAAGAGAAAAAGCTATAACTTTAAATGTGATGTTTTTTAGAATTTTAAGTGCTAAAAATATAAATAAAGCATGTAAGTGTTTGAATATGTAACTGCATTCCAGTACTTTAGGGTTAAATAATTTTAAAAAATTACCAAAAAATTTAAATCTTTATTTTAAATTTTTATTTAAATGTGTTTTAAATAACAAAACATACATTTTATTTGATTTAGCACTATAGCATCTGCTTTTATAGAACAAGACAGTTAAATAATAATTTTGAGCACAAACACAAATGATGCTGAAAAATCAGCTTGAAAATTGCTGCAGTTTCCCTTTAGGTGCAAGAACCCCGTATCACACACTCTGTTGTTGTGCTTCATCATTTACAAAGAAAAACGAGATTAAAAGTCCGAGTAACTTTAAAATAAAGTGTCATAGTTTTGCAGAGTTGGAGCTTTTATCTGATCCTGAAAACTTCCGTTCGACGGCCCTCCAAAGTTCTGAAAGACTGAAGTTTGTTCTTCGTTCTCACTTTCTGTTGGGCTGAATCAAAACAAAGCCGGGCCAACGTCCACTCATCCCTGGGCTCAAAGATTAACTCAGCACTGCAATGTTTTCTTACTTCCAGCCTCACTTTAAGCTTGAGCGGCTCTCATTTATCATCCATCCCCTTTCAAACACAAAATGTACTCGAGACACCACCACCCCCCACCCCAAGGACTGCAGTCGGGTTCAGTTTCTTTGAAACCGCACACTGCAGAGTGGAAAAGTCCAGGAAGTAATCTGGTTTCTCTGATGCCTGAAATGACGTACCAGGCTCCAGTGATCAGAGAATCTAACAGGCTCTTAGATCGTACATTTTCCAGGAAAACACCCAAACAGCATCACTTTTCATGCTCTGTCTTCTGTTTTTTTTAAAGCTGTCAAGATTCACTCCGTGTTTGAGATCACTGCTTGAGTTCTTCAAGGCACATTTTGTTTGAGACATCCCAGATCCACACTTCACTTCAGGGACTTTTTTTTTAATATGTCTATAAACAGGAAGTGATCCCACAGCTTACGGTTTTTTTTTTTGTTTGTTTGGTTTTTTTTTTGCATGTTTTTTACTGTGCAATACCGTGGGGGAGTGGTGGCACAGAGGTTAGAGTAGGCAAACCTGCAATCGGAAGATCGCAGGTTCGACCTCCTCGGCCAACAACATCAAAAATGTGGGTGGGAAAGGTGAAGCACCCATCTGCCACCACCTTCATTTGCCCCACTCTGGGCCCTTCCCCTAACCCCCACCATCTGCTCCCCTGGGTGCCCTAGATAGCAGCTCTCTGCTCCACACAGAGCGCTGTAGTAGCTCGGTGGTCTGTGGTTGCGTCATGTTAGTCATCTTATTATCATGCCGAGACCCCCAGTCTTGTCTGCACAAAGTCGGACTAGTTTCTGGCCCGGTTCTGTACAGATGAGACGGGCCCAGCTGCTCTGAGTGAGCTTCCCAAGGTCAACACCCAATAAGGAGTCATTTTTATTTTGCTGGCTTTCACCACGTAGATAGATTGCACTTTCACCCATTTTTCACCATCAGAAACAAATAAGGCCGATGAGGTCTCACATTGTCACCCCACTGATGCACTCTGATAGGCTGTGCTCCCGGAAATGAAGGCGGAGCCAAGGGCCAATATAAGCTGGGGCGTTCTGTGAAACAGATCCTCCGTTTCCGGGTTAAGACGAGTCGGACGGACGCCTCAGCGCTGAGCTTGTAACTTTTCCTGCTTTATCGAAATTAATTGGGAAACTGAATTTACTTCTCTTGATTTTATTGAGTTTGTGTGAAACTCTTCTCCACCTGGGGAAAAAAGAGAACCAGACACCGGGGGTAGAGAGTCGGACCGGTTTCAGGGATTGACCCGGTCTGATTCTGCAGTCAGGAAGTGCATTCGGCATTAAATAAAAATAAAAATCTTGGTGCAAGTTAGTTTGCTGTGGCGACCTTTGAGGAAGGAGGCAGCCAAAAGAAAAAAAAAATCCTTAATGATCGTGTCGTTTCTTGCTCAGGTTCCCCCTTCATCAACGCAATCATCCATAAGGGCTTTGACGAGCGTCACGCTTACATTGGCGGCATGTTCGGTGCGGGGATCTATTTTGCAGAGAACTCCTCCAAAAGCAACCAGTATGTTTATGGGATCGGTGGAGGAACGGGATGTCCGACGCACAAAGACCGCTCCTGCTATGTGTGCCACAGGTAGGAAGGATTTTCTATTTTTTATTTGTTTATATCTAATACAAACAACTGTTTTAATTATTATCTAAATGTACTTACAAAGGTATTGCCATCCCTGTGTTCAATAATAATAATAGTTTTCCAAATACCGTGCAGCTCTAATAATAAAAGCTTGAACTTGTGTTGGATTATTTTTGGTCCGTCTGTGTCTGCAGACAGATGCTGTTCTGTCGAGTGACTCTGGGAAAGTCATTTCTTCAGTTCAGTGCAATGAAAATGGCCCACGCCCCCCCTGGTCACCACTCAGTTATAGGAAGGCCCAGTGTCAATGGACTGGCCTACGCAGAGTACGTCATCTACAGAGGAGAGCAGGTCAGAGCTCTTTTTAAATATATAAATCTCATCAGGAGCTGTTTTCCTGTGTAGAGTTTCTCCTGTACAGTATTTCAATCATTCAGGAATCAGTAGACAATATTTAGCTCGTTCGGGACATTAAGACTTTAACTTTTGCTGTTTGTAACTTTTACAATTTTTACCTTTTATTGGATTTTTTTTTTTCCAAAATGCATTGAGATTTCTTATCCTTAAAAAAAACCATTATGCTCTTTAAAATCTTCATTGGCACACATGCTTTATTTACAGCTTTTAGCTGCTATTTTTCAAGCATTATCTTCTAGCTGCTGTTTTGTTAATGTTGGATTTAACTTTTTTCCCTCATTTTAGCTATTTGATGTTTTTCTCATCTTAGCTTGTAGCTTCTGTCTTTCTAATGTTAGCTTTTAGCTACTTTTTTCTAGTATTAGTTTTAAGTAGGGGTGCACGATATTGGATTTTTGGCCGATATGTTAAAACTTATTTGGCCGATAACGATACCGATATTTTTCCCCCTAGACCTACTTACAGAGCCTACATAACTTTCTCTTCTGTGGAACTAAAACATTATTCTGCATGGTTTTTGACAATTTGGCCTGCTACTAAATGCAGATGGGGGCTGAAAATAATGTAACACTTCAACTTGGATTATGTTTAATGTCAAATGTATTCATGACATTTACTCTCTCTAACACAACAACAGTGAAAATTTGTAATTTTTCACACATCGAACCTCAACCTGTTCACAAGTGACACATGATAAGTGCATAAGTAGTTATAGATATACTTGACAGTTTCTTAAATTAATTAAACTTAAAACAGAAGCCTTTTATATCGGTGAGTTATTTTGATGGAATGTCCGATATTTAACTGTATCGCTAATATCGGCCGATACCATGCCGATAATATTGTGCATCCCTAGTTTTAAGCTATTCTTTTTCTAGTTTAAACTTCCAGCTTTTGTTTTGCTAGTATTAGCCTTTGGCTGCTGTTTGTTAGTTTTGACTTCTGTCTAACTTTTGGGCAGTCTTAGCTTTGTTAGCGTCTGTTCTGCTTGTTTTTGCTTTAAGCTACTGTTTTGCTAGTTTTAGCTTCTGTTCCGCCAATTTTAGCTGATATTTTGATTGTTTTAACTTTGAGAACTCAGTTTTCAACTACCTTAACAATCCTCAGCTTTCACCCTGCTTTTTCACAGAACATGATGATTTTTCTCATTGCTTATTTTTTACTTTTACATCCAAAGCAGCTAATTCCTTTCGCAGAAATCACATATTTTGTTTTATATTTCTGTATTTTTTGTCCTCAGGCTTACCCGGAGTACCTGATCACCTACCAAATTTTGAAGCCAGAGAGTCAGGCTGCGCCTGCTGCCACTGCTGAGCAGAAATCCTAAAACTCGGTCACAGCTGGTTTTGAAGAGGACCATGATGGACAAAAAAGCGAATTTCTTAACCGACTAGAATCAGAAAAATAAGAAGCATTTTAAACGTCTGAGCTGAAATTAAGGTTCCAGGAGCCGAAGGTGAAGTGAAGAAATTAACGAAACGGAAGGAGGTCAGGAAGACATGAAGAGGTTTGGTACAGGTTCAGTCCGAAGCAGCAAACAATAATTTAATCTAAATTCAATGAGAAAATGCAGGCTGTTCAGTCAGGGGCGGAGCTAGACCGCTGTGAAAGGGGCAACACAGGGGTGGCCAAGGTGTTTTTAAGGAAGGCGCTAAGAAACACACCTTTTTGGCAATTTTCATAACCCACCTGTGTGTGCATCTCTGTGTGTCTGTCACTCACTTGACATGATCTCAATTATTTAGTTTTTTTTTTATTTTTTTAGAAAATGTCAGCACACTGGAGCTTTTATTTAGCATAAACGTTCACAGTGTTGTAAAATATGTCTTTACAAAAAAGTATACAAACCAAAAATTGCTTGTCAAATTTAGATTATTGGATAGAAAATGTATGTTTATTTAAACTATCTCTTGATAGCAACACCAATTTGATCTGATTTATACAGATTCAGGACAACATTATCCACCTCTAAAATCCCTCGTCCAACTTCACCAGCATTTTGTATAATATTGTCATATTTATGACTGTGTAGTCTGTAGTTACACAAATATAATTTTGCTTCCCCTCCAGTTTTTTGTATCTCTCTAAGACTAAAAAGAGAAAACAGATGCACGACCATTTTTAAGATAAGACATGGGGGGTGCAGTGATTGTAATCAATCTGTGTGAGTTCATCAGTCTTGCACTTTATTTATATTGCATACAATATCTTATGAACACATTCACATTATAGAACAAGTATTTTATTGATGTCTTAAAAAACGGTCAAAATCACAAGATGCACATAGAGCCTTTATTGTCTTGTTAAACATACTTAACTGTGCTTTACTTGTTCCTTTTATTTATTATTTATTATTTCTATTCTACAGTACAGGAAGGCCTTCAGTGTGTTGAGGCTGTAAACGAGCAGTTTTGACACAAACTGAGTGACAGATTAGTTTTAAGAGCTGGTTAGGATTGATGAAAATGTCTGTTAGCTAAATATTTCATGAACCGTTGCACTGTTTTTGCCATAACTCAGCTATTGTTAGACATATTGAGCTGGAATTTGGTATGGTGGTAGCCACAAGCAATCGCTATGACATTCTGAAAGCTAATCATTATTTCAAGCTGTTAATGCTAATTGAACAAAGGGCTATAATTCAGCTGATTTTAGATATACAAAGCTAAACATTGGTATACTAGTAGCCAAAAACAGTTTTTATGCTAATCAAAAGTTCAAGATGGCTACCACAGCAAATTTCAAATGGCTGTAATTCAGCTATTTTAAGATATACTGTGCTGAAATTTTGTGTGATCGTAGCTACGATCCAAAACATGCTGAATGCTAGTCGCAATTTCACGCTAACTGCTAATGCTAACTTTAGAAAGAGCTATAATTTGCCATTTTTAGACAAAATTGAAAATTAACAGTCTTTACCTAATTTTAAATGCTAATCAAAAAGTCAAGATGGCCACTACAGCTAACTTTAAATGGCTATAATTAAGCCGTTATAAGATGTACTGAGCTGAAATGTATTGTGGTTTAGCCAAGAATGATTCCAAATACATGCCGATTCCTAATCCTAAAAGCTAACTGCTAATTCTGATTTTACAAAGGGACGTAATTTAACCATTTTTAAACATACAACATTGGAAATTAAAAAGCAATAGTCGAGAACAATCTACAATCTGAATGCAAATACCAAAATCCAAGATAGCCGCCACAGCTAATTTCAACTGAGGATAATTCAGACGTTTTTTGCGCTACTGAACCTAAACTTGTTGTATTGGCAGCTGAGAGGGATCACTAATAGATTCTGATTGCAAATCACAAATAAAATATTGAATATGGCCACCAAAGTTACATTCAAATGGCTATAACTCAGCTATTTTTAGACGTATTGAGCTGAAATTTGATGTGAAAAAGCATACAGTACAGTCAAATCATACATTTAAAATGGTGGCCACGTGGCGGTCCCCATCAAAGTTTATCAAGGAACTTTACTAGATGCTCCATGCCTGTGCCTGTGTAGATTGGCCACTCGGATGTCACCAAATTTTCATTAACAGGTTCTTAAATCCTGAACAAGCACACAATTGTTACTTTATACAGTATTATTCAGTGGTTCAGAAAACCCTGGCCACCCCATGGCACCCCTCTGGCTCCGCCCCTGTGTTGAGTGTTTCTGGACTTCCACCAGAAATGTATTTTGTAGCTCCATCTTAAAAAAATAAAAATAAATTCAGAGCGTTTAATGTTACATTTCTGCTCAGTGAGGCTGACGTAAACAGAACGAGAAGCTATGCCATGAGTTTGCACGTGAATAAGAGATTACTGTGGATTAATAGGATGTGGATTGAGTGATCCAGTCTTAAGTACTGACCTCACCCTGCAGTCTATAAAGGGACCAACTTTGTTCTGCAGCAGCCAAACAGGCAAGATCAGTCCAGTTTTACTGTTGACAGAATGTTAAACTCATTGTTTAGACAAAAGCAATACTTTTTTGTTTTTTGTTTTTCTATTAAGAAACACAAAAATGTTTTAGTCAAGAATACGCAGTTTGATCTCTAAGGATCTTATTAAAGGCATTTATTTCTAACATGAATCACTTCAAGACTTTAAAGTTTAGTAATGAGTATCCTTTGTGCTGCAAAACTTCCAAACCTGTATCTTGTTTTAGCTTTAACTTTTTTTTTCCAGAACTGCACAGATCAGCCAAGATGATGACACTAGCATTTACTAATGCACATTATAACTTGTGTTTGTAACGTGGTGCTGTTCAAATGGAAAGCATTGCAAAGATAGATTACACAGAATAAGATGGATTAGAATAGAAAACGTTCTAACTTCTGCAAATTTAGGATTTGTTTTTTGTTTTTTTTTCACCTTAAACATTAATCATAATGCATTTACTTTAATAATGGCAGCTGAACTTGTGTTAAAACTGCAGCATCCACAAGAATTATATGATTCTTCTGTGATCAGAAAGGTCCAAACACCAGAATTAAATACAACCCCGGTTCCAAAAACGTATAAAATGTAAAGAGCATCAGAATGCAATGAATTTGCAAATCTTATAAACCCATATTTTATTCTTAATAGAAACAAATCAGATTAAATGTTTCAACTAATGCTACCTTTTTTATAAAGAAAATAAAGAAATGTTGAATTTTATGGCAACAACACATTTTAAAAACATGCTCATGTTTACCACTTGGAAGCATTTCTTTTAACAACAGTTTAAACGTCTAGGAACTGAGAAGACGACCGGTAGGCGCTGGAGTTTTTGGAGGGGAATGTTGTCCCATTTTTTTCTGATGTAGGCGTGTAGCTTTTCTAGTTGTGGGTCTTCATCAGACTTTAGCTGAACAGATGCATATTTTGGTTTAAAAGCTGTTTATACTTTCCTGCTTAATTAGCGTCTTTCCAGATGTGTAAGTTGCTCATACCAAAGTTACCAATGTACCCCCATACCATCAGAGAGGCAGGATTTTAAACTGTATACTGATAATAGGCTGAAGCAGTGTTCCCTTACCTTTATACAAGCAAGGCACCCGCTGAACGCCCTGCCTACCAAATCGAACGCAACCCCCCCCACACACACACACACCTCGTCGACAACTGCTAGCACTGACGTAACGCTAAGCTAGCATTGCACAATACATACGCGCTAACTAAAAAGCTCCATTTCCCTCATGCTTAGTCGTCTCTCCCCGCTCGAAAACTGTCGGTACAAACTGCGCAAAACAAACGTGTCTCAGTCGCCATTGTCTCCAACACCCCCCCCCCCCCCCCCCCCCCCCCCCCCCCCACCCCACCCCACCTTTACATGGTAGAGCTTTAACCAGCATTTGTGGATGACGCAGGAAACCGTGTTTATGGACAGTCAGTTGTGGACGTGTTCCTGAACCCTGATGTCCAGAACAGCATCAGACCTGAAGATCTTCACCAGTTTGACTTTCAGCCTTGTCTTTAGAGCTCAGAGATTTCTCCAGATTCCTGAAGTGTTTTGATGATACGAACTGTAGATGATGAATTATTCAAAGTCTTCCCAATTTTCCATTGAGAAACATTATTCTGGAATTGTTTCACTGTTTTTCGATTCAGATTTCACAGACTAGAGAGCGTCTGTCCAGCTCTACTTCTTTAAAATGCTCTTTTAATACGTAGTCTTCTTCCTGACGGGTTGCCAGTTAACCTGCATCGTTGAAAATGCTTTCCAAGCTGCCTCTCGCCTGCAGCCTTTGATTGCCCGTGTCCGAGCTGTGAGATGTGTTGTTGCCCAACAATTTCAGTATAATCTTTTTTGCAAGATTAAAAAATGTGCATTTCTTAGTTTCAACATTTGATATGTTTACTACCAGTAAGTTTTATTAGAAATAAACATGGGTTTGTGAGATGAGCAAATCATCTGTTTTTGTTTACACCACTTTTTTGGAAGTGGCGTTTGTCATGAAACTCAACCCACTGGACGGATTATTTGATTGATTAGCTGCAGCACAACGGTTACTCGTCCACGCTCACACGCAAAGCTTTTTGTTTAGTCATTTTTGTACCGTAAAGCTGAAAAGTTGGTGTGTTTGTTTACATGAACCTGCTGCCTTGTTGTCCCTTTCCTCTGGTGCCCCCTAGCGGTGCAGTGGTGTAACTGCACAGGAGTGAAAGAGGACACGTCCAAGTTTTGAAACTTTGATTTTATTTTTCAGCTCACGATGTTGTCTTTTTTTTTTTTGAGGGACTGTTGTATTTATGTGTTTACACGCCTCATACATAATGTAAATAGTGAATCCAAGTCACTACGTCCACGAGCCGTTCAGGCTGCAAAAATACTTATTTATACAAGGAATATGGGTGAACGTAATTCTCTTGTTACGGTTTTATCTGTTAATTGTTTATTGTTGTTTGTTTAAGTAACACTGTATGTCACTTGGGACCACAATACTTTTTTTTCTGTATATCCAACAACATGAGTTGAAATTAAACTGCTGATGGTTTCAGATATTTCTTTTATAACCTTTTGGAGTGAAGATTGGTCGAACTGGTTTTAGCTGTGAAATATTGCCTTAAAAGCACCTGTTAAGCAAATTAATTCAATCTGTTTATACAAAATAAGGAAGCGACTGCTGCCTTTTTTTTTCGTGAAACACTTAATTCCCCTTAATTAATGTTTTTCTTCAAACA